CCACATTACTTGATCCAATATTTGTTAGTGACAATACTATCGTCAAAAGGTCAGGGACACTCAATGCAGACTCAATTAGTGATCATCGGCTCACATACTGTGATATTTCCGTTTGTTATAAAAAAATAGAGCCTAAATTTGTAACATATAGAAATCTTAATAGCATTGATATTCAAAGTTTTAAGACGCAGATTGCATCAATGCAGCTTAATGACATTTATTTCGTGAATGATGTGGATATTAAAGTCTCTATTTTTACTGGCCGTCTTCTTTATCTATTCGATCTCTACGCTCCGCTACGTACAGTACGTGTCACAAAACCTGCTGCGCCCTGGCTCACTCCTAACTTGAAAATGATTTTTCAACTCAGAGATGAGGCATTCGCTGTCTATCAGCATAACAGATCTGATCAGAATTGGGCCAGCTACAAAGATTTGAGAAATTATGCCCTTGCATCGCTTAGAAGAGAGAAAAAACATATATGTCACGTTTCCGGAATCTTAACTCTAGTCAAGCTTGGAAACACCTGAGGAGGATGAATGTGGTAGCCCAGAAACATGTTGCGATACCTCCCAGTCTCCTTGAGCCTAACATTTTAAATAATTATTTTCTTTCAATTTTCCAGACAGGTGCAGCTGATACAAATTTGATTGATAGTGTCTCTAACTATTATAGCGATAGACGCCATACACCGGATGCACCTCTGTTTGCTTTTAAACTCCTTACTCAGCAAGACATCGTCAATATAATCTCTCACATTAAGTCTACGGCATGTGGCTCTGATGGTCTAACTTTAAATATGGTTTGCTTATGTTTGCCTGATACCATAGACCATATAACTCACATTATTAATGTCTGTCTCGAAACAGGTTACTTTCCTGCCAGTTGGAAAAATGGTATTATTATTCCAATAGCTAAAACTAATCATCCAGAACAATATTCGGATCTCAGGCCAATTACCTTATTATGCTTTCTATCAAAAATACTCGAAAGAGCTGTCTACTCACAACTAGTGGAGTTTTTCGAACAAAATCACTTATTTCCTCTACATCAGTCAGGTTTCAGAGCTGGTTACAGCACTACTTCGTCTTTATTACATCTTACTGATTCCATCATTCACAATTTAGATAATCACATCAACACCGTCTTGGTAGATACTGTTAGATTTCTCGAAAGCCTTTGATATGGTCAATCACCAGATACTTCTGAGTAAGTTATCTCATTATGGAATGTCAGATATAGTTCTAAGGTTCTTTGAGTCATACTTGCTAAATCGTCAACAAACAGTGAAAACTGATCAGGGAATTTCCTCCTCTGAGCCAGTTCCTTCTGGAGTTCCTCAGGGCTCAGTATTAGGTCCCTTACTATATCTGATTTATACGATCGATCTGCAAGACTGTTTAGTCCACTGTAGTATGCAAACTTATGCAGATGATACTCAGTTAGTGTTTGGTTTCGATCCATCAAAGGTTGATGAAGTTTCTTTTAAAGTTAATTTAGATTTGGCTAACATCGGTGATTACTGTAACAAACACTACTTGAAGATCAATCCCAATAAAACTACTGCAATGTTGTACTGTTCGAAGAACTCCTACCGTGAAATGAAGCAGAGGATTTGTGTTTTTTGGATGAGACACTCATCCCTTTAGTGGATTACGCCAAGAATCTCGGTGTTACCCTTGGTTTAAATATGAGATTCGATCGGCATGTCTCTTTCTTATCTAGAGTAACATATTTGCGTTTGAAACTCCTCTATTCCAATCGATACATCTTGAATTTTAAAACCCGAAAAAAGCTCGCTGAAAGTCTTGTGTTGTCTGTCATTTCTTACTCTCTTGTTCTGTACTACCCATGTTTAGACTACGTCCACAAAAGGAAACTTCAGAAAATTCAGAACAGCTGTTGTAGGTTTATTTTTGGATTGCGCAAGTTTAGTCGCGTCTCAGATAAAATCAAAGAACTCAACTGGTTGCGAATTGATAAGTTATTTTTATATCTTTTGACCGTCTTCACGCATAAAGTTCTATTATCTAATAGACCAGCTTACCTCGCTAGCAAATTAGTTCACCGAGGTAGTTTTGTTACCAGAGCTCTTAGATTTAATGCTAATTTTAACATGCCTCCTCACAATATCTCGGTCTTTGAAAGAAGTTACACCTATAATGCTGTCAAGCACTACAATGCAGTCAACAGTGGCTATCGATCCAAACAGGTTGTTTCTTTCAAGAAATTAATAAAAAGTCAGCTGCTGGAGTCCATTTAGTTCAATTTTTCTTGTGCTCATGTGATTTTTCTTTTGTTTTTTTTTGTTTGACTACTATTTTTGTTTCAAATTTAAAACTCTCGCAATGCTATCTGCATTTATCTCGTGCAATCATTGTTGTCATTCTTATGAATTGTATTTTTTTTTTGTATGTTATTACTTTGTTTATGTGTGTAAGTATTCCTTTTTCCTGTTGTGGGGTTGAGTGTAAGAGTAGCCGTCTGGCTAAACTTCGCCTCACTGCAGTTAATAAAGGCATTATTATGTAAGAGTTTATTCGAAATCCGAGCAGTACTTCTCAAGTTAATAAGATTTGCAGACAGACCGACGGAAATGAGTGACTTGTTTTTTTGTGATGTATATGTCATATAACAGCCAAAAAACATCTCATTTTCCAAAAAAATTTCGCAATTAAAATAATTTCTCACTACCGTGGGAAGTAAGAAGGCAAGTTTATTTTTAATTATGTTGGTGTAAGATTCATATATTTTCTTATAAAGTCTTATTCTATTAATCTTCTATAAAAATCTAATTAAAATCAAAGAATGTATTTGTCTAACCTCACTGTAATTTTATTTTAAGGTTTAATCAATATGGTCATGTATTTTCAATTTCTACATATATTTTTATAACTTAAGTACATAAATAAGTATCAAGTTTAAAGTGCGTATATTTTTTTTTGTCGGAATATTCAAAAAGTACCTATTCATATTTAAATGAATTTAGGTAATCAAAACAGCGGTATAGTTGTAGTCACCGTTCTTGGCGGTTTCGTTATCAACGCCATATGAAATAAGCAAACAGATCGAGTCTTGAACCATGGGCGCAGACTAATCTTCAGCGCATCTGCTACTCTCTCCAGTACGCATGAAGGGGGTAACAGGGGACCGTTATTTTTATTCTCTTCCTTTAAATACCCTAATAAATTTAGTTGTCACTCTCACAAATATAATTGAAGGGCACTCGTACGTAACGACAAAGTTTTCGAGACAGACACACATGTAGCATGTTTATGTATGAGGGAGATGGAGGTATATAAAGGGATCTGGTAGTCTTATTTTGACCCGCCAAGAACGGTGACTACAACTATACACGAGTCCTTTTTTCGTTGTATTCTAATCTTGATATTCCAATACAATCTGAAATACAGTACGTATTCAGGATCAATATTCGAATACTTGACTCTAGTGTTCGACACAAGTCTGGCAGGAGATTACAAAAGAAATAGAAGTTAGAACTTCTTGATGTCCTGGCGCGACCATTCTAGATTTGAAATTTGAAAATTATTTTAACATATGAGTGAAGGTTGCTTTTGGAGAAACGTGGAAAGCACAACACAACTTTGTTTCGTATATTTTTTAGTGCTTATAAGAACGATTAAAAGGCAAATCAAAATGCAAAAATGATGTTCAGACACTTACTTCAACTGTAACACACACAATTCCTGGAATCCTCGACTCTAGATGCACTGCCCTAAGATGAGTGATCTCAACACATCACGAAAAGTTTGAATGTCACTGAAAATGTACCGACGCACACATACACCTACGCGATACTACAGATAATTATTAGACTTCTTTGAATAACATTAAGCCATTCCCTAGAGACACCGCTACACCCCAAATCATTGAGAAAAATAATCTAAATTCTAACCTATTAAATTCATAAACACCGAACAAGCACTGGGTGCAAAAACAAAACCGGTCGTCCTTCCACCGCCTACTTGAATATTTTCCGGGAATCCTAGTTGGCCCTACAGCAGATACAGAGTGTTTAGAATATAATAAATGGGAGTTGTTCAGTTTGAATATATGAAAATTATTTTAATGGTTCATTATAATGTTTTTTATCTGTTTCTGTTCAAATATTTTTCCTTGAATGATTGATTTGTCATACCTATATATGAAGGATGGTTTTGGTATTTGGTAAAATAGGCCGAGTACGCGGAGATGGGGTACAAACCGAGTATTTGGTGCATCCCCTAAAATTTATACGAGGGATGTCTTTTAAGTTTTGCATATAGAAACATAGTAGGCTGCGCGGATCGAACGTCAGTACTGAATCTTAACCTCACTCTTTAGTAAACTTAAATTCAAAGTTTCATAACAATACGTGCAGTGTTCTCACTACAGAGAATGTTTAAGTGTCACCAAGTCATTAGAAAAATGGAACTCAACCGAGAACATTTTCGCGCCATAATTTATTACAACTTGCAGAGACAATTATCGCAACAAGAATGCCTTCTTGAGTTACTGTCTGTTTTCGGCAACGAAGCGCCACATCAGTCGACAATTTCTCTTCGATATGGAGAATTCAAACGTGGAGGGTGAGTCTTAGCGACGATCCCAGGGTGGGTACACCAAAGACGGCAGTCATCCAGGAAAAAGTCGATGCTGTGCGCAAACTCATCATTGAAGATAGACATGTGACATATCGCGAGATTGAGGCGTCCTTGAAGATCTCAAAGATCTCAATTCAAAAAATTTTACATGAAGAATTAGAAGTAAGAAAATTAGTTTCTCCTTGGATACCCCACCTGTTTACTGAAGAGCAGAAAGCAGGCAGGGTTAATTCGTGTCAAAAAACGCTTGACCGTTTCAATTCCGAAAACTCAAAAAATGTGTACAGCATTGTTAGTGGTGATGAATCGTGGATTTACTGTTATGAACCAGAAAATAAACGACAGTTATTGGACCATCCTAAATATAGTCCCGATCTAAGTCCTAACGATTTCTACTTTCCCGAAAATTAAGAACAGACTGCGTGATCAAAGGTTTCGGTCACCTGAAGAAGCAGTTGACGCATTCAAAAATGCCGTTTTGGACCTGCCAGCAAACGAGTGGAATAAGTGCTTCGGAAATTGGTTCGAGCGCATGCAGATGTGTATTAATCTTCGTGGCGAATACTTCGAAAAACAATAGTCATTTAAAACTATATCTACCGTGTTGTTTTATTTCCATATGCAAAACTTAAAAGACATCCCTCGTAAATATAACTTTGAATAGCCTTAATAAATAATAGTAGTTTTTTTATTTCTTAATTACAGTATAACAGACGGATTGGACGTCCAATCATCACATTTCCACCTGTATACTGGTCTACACTCATTTTTGTCACCACGAAATCTCAATTTCGATATTTTTTTATATGTGCGAATGTATTATTGGTTAATGCCAATTGATCCACTTAGTACGTTAATCCTTCTTTGCGAAAGGAAATTTCCAAACTAAATTCTTATATTTCTGTTCCAGCTGGGTGTTGCCATTTTTCAGACATGGGTACCGCACTCATCTCCGTATTAAAGACATATACAATACGACCAACGATGATATGTCAGAAACGTTAGCTGATAGATTAGAAAGGTAATTCATATTCGAAAAAATATTCCTGCTTTTATTTACTGTCAACAGATCCCCACAGAATTATACAAACATTGTTCAAGTACGAAGATATGAAAGATGATTACGCTCAGTATTGTATTGTCATTGCAACTGCTCATTGTCATAATTATGGAAGTGGCATGTATCTTTTATTAAAACGAAAATACATAAATGTTAAATTTGAATGCATGGATTCTTACCAATTCTAATGATCTTTGATGCATGGAAAGAGAAATTATAACGATATTTCACGACGTATATCAATAACTTTAATGATGTATAATATCAATTGCCCATCCAGTTCCACAGGCTTAAAACATGTACAATTGTGAATATTGAAAATTGGTTTGCTTTCCTTCTTAAAAAAACGATATTTGTCTTAAATCATTCTGCAACTTAACGTCATAAAACTGATCTTCGAGGCAACTTTTAATATTGTCATTTCATTTTTTTTTTGAAATCATGAATTTCCGGAAAATCATATGCATACCTGGTGGAACAAATAGAAGTTCAATCAGAATGTTGATTTTAGTCCAATTCAAGCAATTATGTATTATATGAGTCAACTTACAGATATGGTGTACCTATACCAAAATGAAAGATTGTCGCTAATTTTATTTTCAGAAATTGGAACAATGAACTGAGAAACAAAGACTGTAAAACAAAGCCGAGCTTAAATAGAGCCATCTTCAAAACTTTTTATAAGAGATATATTTTCATAGGAATTTTGCAATTTTTTCATTGCATGTGTATAAGGTAAGAATTGTTACACTTCCAGTGAAATCATGAAAAAATTATTTGAACACGCGATAAAGTGTTACTTGCAAGAAATGTTGACAAATAATAATTTGTACGAAACTTTAATCGGTTGAAATTTTGTTAAAAGGTTAATACATGAGTTGGTGTTAGCAGAAGTTCTAGAATTGTATTCAAATAAAAATCGAAGGTATATATTTACTTTAGTTGGTAGCACTCATTTGGCAGGAAGGAATTAAAAAAATACCGAGCTTCAAGTTATTCAAGACGATTTTTTTGTGAAATTACTTTATTTTTTATCTAAAGGTATTCCTGGACTAAGATATGTTTTTGAATTTTGCAGAATGTTACAGCCAATCCTTTTAGCTGAATATATTCGATATTATGAGGCAGGTAAAGATAAAGAGGATTCCCAGTTAGGTTGGATCCTAAGCAGTCTTATCGTCGTCACTGCCTTTCTCAATATACTCATAGCTCATTTTAATACTTTGAGCTGCTACAGGATAGGAATGAGAGTCAGAGTTGCGTGTTGTTCCCTTATTTATAGAAAAGTAAGTTGGTATTTTTGCTGTGCACCTTCAGAACGAAATTTGGCTATACCGACAAAATGAAAATCCTGACGCACAAATCTGCTTGAATATCCTTATTTTTATATGCATGTCAAAAATAGGCCTTGCTTAAAAATCAAAATGTTTTGTCCTATTAATGTTTTTGAACTGACCAGAAACAGCAAATTTTCTAAGCTTTTGTTCCCCAAGTTTCACCAAAATCCGAGATTACGAGAGTAAAATTACTCGAATATAGACGTACCGACAGACAGACCGACGGAAATAAGTGATATGAACTTACGAGTTATAGATATCACAAAAGATATACATATGTTATCCAATCCATTTTGTTTGGTGAGAAATGTTACCCTCGAATTTTAACCTCCATTTGGGATTGGCCGGAGTTTGTTAGGCTCATTCGACAAATTGTTATATGGGGCTTCTCAGGAGCAAGCCTCGCCAATGTTTCCATCAATTTTTGGGTAGATTTTAATGGGAGTATTTTGAATAGATTCACTAATATTGCTCTTCAGCTACTTTGTTGTCCTTGGTTTTTTTTCACAAACTTTATCGTTCCTCTAGCTACTATACAGGGTGTCCCACGAGGTAAGGTATACAATTTTTCTGCGTGTTCCTCAGGTCAATTCAAGTGGAAAAAGTCGTATGAACATGGGTCCGTAAATGCTTCCTTATCGAGATATGATTTTTTTATTTTTAGTGGGCGAAAACCACAATATTGTTGGAAAATTGCTCTTATTTAACAAAAAATTTAATACTGTTCGTATGAAAACAACTGTTTACAATAATCAAAGTCCTCACTCACGATGTACTGCCCGATTAATACGCTGGTGTTTGTTTGTAGTTTGCAAAAATTACTGTCATGTTTGTCTTTACAAGTGAGGAATACGGTGACATGATGTTTGTCAACGGATATTGCAACGGACATGGCAGAGGATCAGTGAACGAATACCGCCGCCGTTATCCAAATAGAAGAATACCTGACAGAAGGGTATTTGGAAGAGTTTTGGCACATGTGAAAGCAACATGATCGGTTCCAAACGCTACGGTAACACGTCCATCAGAAGCTGCCAATGACTTAATACTGGATAGTGTTGAATAGTCACCATCAACCAGTGTCCGCAGAATATCCCGTCGCACTCGTGTTAACCGAATGACTGCGTGGAGAACAATGCATAACTTTGGTTTGAACCCATTTCATCTGCAACCTGTCCAAGTTCTGCTGCTCACTGATCCGTGCCTTCGTATGCAGTTTTGTAATTGGCTAATCGCAAATCGTAATCTTGTTAAAAAGATTTTGTTCACCGACTAATCTACTTTTACTCGAGATGGCGTCAATAATTTGAGGAATTCCCATTCTTGGCAGCTTGAAAATCCCTACGCAACTATCGAACGGAATTTCCAGCACCATTTTCCCTTACCTCGCGGGACACCCTGTATGTGTGAAATGTTGCTTGTTGAATTCCTAGAACCACAAAGCTTTCCATCGTATCATTGTAACAAATAACAAAAGTTCCCATAAAAGATTAAGATAAAAATTTGCATTTATCTCACTCCAATATAATGATATTGAGGGGAATACATCAGTCAGTCATATATAACGTCCAAACCGTACTTTTAAAATCATGTAATTTGGAGACACTACGTTTTCCATTCATTCCATCACATTTTTTCTTTCGTCTATCCAATAAATTCATCAGACCTTGAAAATGTTATTAAGCTGTCCTCCTAATACAAACTATTTTATTTTCAGCTCCTAAAATTAAGTCAAGCATCTCTAACCCAAACAACTGCAGGGCAGTTAGTCAATCTGCTATCAAACGATGTACAAAGGTTCGATAATGCCTCGATCTATTTGCACTATATCTGGATTATGCCCTTCCATTTTGTTCTTGCATTTTACATTTTGTTTCAAAGTGTAGGTTTGGCAGCTATAGCTGGAATGACAATGATCGGCTTGCAAGCCATACCACTGCAAGGTAAGCATTTAAAAGTGGTAGCTGCATTTGAGAAGGGATCCTTAACCTATAGCTTAGGTATTTGAGGCGCGGTTGAATGATTTTTTGTACGTCATTAATTTGAAATATAATAAAAAGCCAAAGATTATATCCTTCGAACAGCTTATATAAGGAAACAGACATGCTTAATACTAGGCAACTTTATTCCTTACATGCCACCACCTTATACCATAAGCATTGTAATGAACGAAATTCCCATGACACACGATTTCGAATAGATTCATCTAACATCTCAAAACATTATTCAAAAAATTATTTAAATTCCTAGCAGCTAAGTTATATGATGCAGTACCAAACGAAATAAAGACACTTAAATTTTTAAAATAATCTAGGCCAAAATTAAAAGACTGGGTTTGTACTGTGCAGCGAATGTCCTTACATAATTATATAGAAAACCAAAACTACAAAATTCAAATTATATAAATACATTTTAGAATTAACTATAAATAATTGTTATACACATGATGATTGTTAGTTAGTTAGATGTAATCCACACACAGGCGATGCCTTTTGTGGTTTTTTCATATTTATTTGACCATTTTAAACAATTTTGTATATTGTTATTATTATTATTATTATTCCAATAGTTGTAAAAACCATGTGACTTTTAAACCATTATGTTTTTTACGATAAGACGTCCAACATTCATTCAGGCAGTCTAAAGCTCAGCGAACTGAATACAAAAAGCCAACTTATGCAAGACCACCTTTCTTCAGTGAGTTTTGGGTGCATATCTCGTAATAAAGAATTTTTTATGTCATTACCTTCAAATAGAGCTGATCTTTCACGGTTCTCAAAATAATATCAAACTATTTTTTTGACCATCTCGGTGATTAAGAACCTGCTCTACCCTTTTGTTCTAGGTTTTTTATCTAGACTGCAAGGAAAATTGAGGTACAAAATAGCGCTAAGAACAGACCACAGGATAAAACTGATGAGTGAAATCATATCTGGCATTCAAGTTATCAAGCTGTATGCCTGGGAATTGCCTTTCCAAAAAGTAGTCGAATTAGCTAGAAAGTAAGTTAAAAAATGTCAGCATAATTGTCAGAAGTGAGAAGTATGTCAAATACCTGCGTCTTTTTTGTTTTTGCCATGACCTACTTCTACTTTTCTATTTTGAGATATAGGTTGAATCCTTTAGATACTGACAATAATTGTACGATACATTGTTAGACAGTCTAACCAGAATTCTGCAATGACAGAATTTAAATTTTACTTTGGCTAAACTCTTGAAAACAGCTTCTTTAGGCTTGTAGATTGTAGTCGCTCTTACTTGACGAAACTCTTCGATTATGTGATAGTATAGCGCAATTTTCTGTACAAGTTTCACAGTAAAACACAGAATGCGACGTAACCTGCCTTGCACATTTACTATAGGCTACATCATGAGGCAAGTGGTATAGTAGACAATATCGCTATGGAAGAAACGGACATGTTGGTGGACATACAAAAGTCTGGGAATGACTTCTGATATAATTTCAAAAATAACAAAATATGCTAAAAACCCTACTCAGTGATAATTCTTCAAAGGAATGAGAGGGCACAACAGACTGACCTAATAATGAAAGATAACTGTGTAATACACAGATGGCTCCAAGACCAAAGTAGGTGTTGTGGCTGTCATCTTCGAGTTAAAAGCTAAAGTATAAGGAATCAGCCAGTTTAGGAATCTGGGCATCGATTTTCCAGGCAGAGCGATATGCTATAGAGCTGTATGTCACAAGGATCGCAGAATGACAATAGAGGCACAACACTATATTTACTTTTTCAGATAGTTTCGCGTCAAGTACTTGACTTCAAATACTCATCATCGAAATTAGTGTGAAATTGTAAAGTAGCTCTTGGTAGCGTAGGGGATGGAAATAGGGCCCGTCAATGAGACAGCCGTCACTCTAACAAAGAGTAGGGCTAGCACACTCTTCACATGGCCTAAGCAAACGTGTATAATACGTCTAAACAAATATCTGAATGGAAGATCCATCAGCACTGGAAGGGATTAACAGGGTTTACCAATGTTAAGGCAACTATACCAACCTTAAAAAAAAGGTAACAGACTCACTGCTGCGGCTAAAGGGAAATAACCTTGAGGCTTTACTGAGACTATACACTGATCATTGCAACTTGCGTCACCACATGAGCAGGCTGGGCATGGCTGAAGAATATGTGCAGACTGTGCATGGAAGGAGACGAAACGGTTAAGCATGTTTTATGCAGATGCATTGCAATTAGCAGTGTCAGGTTGCGGGAGTAATACTCCACGTAGAAAACCTGTGGGATATTTATCCAAATAAACTGATTGACTTCCTCGGGAGATCGAAATTCACAAAAATCTATCTATATTTTTCTTTTATTTGTCTGCGATGCTTCCAAAATACGAGCGGCTTCTGTGATTTGCTGTGAAAATTATTAGTATTATCGATCTCATTTGTCGGCTTGTCTTTACAAAAAGGCTCAACAATTATCAATATGTTTTAGATTAGAATTAGATGTCATAACGAAAACTTCTTACATAAAAGGCATGTCTACAGGCATGATGGTGTTCACAGAACGACTTATCCTCTACGTAACATTAGTAACACATGTATTTCTGGGCAATCATTTAACTGGCGACATTGTTTTTTCACTTGCTCAAATCTTCAACATCGTGCAGCATTATGTGGCTTTTAGTTTTCCCAATGCTATTGCCACATATTCTGAGGCTAGAGTTTCAGTTCAAAGGATAGAGAAGTTTTTACTATTAGAAGAGACGACTGAGAATGAGGTGAGATTTTTAACTTAATATATTCAATTTAAATAAAATTCTCCTTACGTTCAGTGTTGGTCCAGCTCTAATGTTATTAATTAGCTTGTCCAGTATTTTGAGATGCAAGGTATTGTGTTATACGAGGTCTGTAAATTAAGTGATGACACTGGCAACGTAGCGTTCGATCTGGCAACACTGGAGGCGCCGGGCTTGGAGGGGAGACAGAGGAACATGTGATCCGGCTTCGGGACAAGTTCGAACTCACTCGAGTCATTTGGTTGTCCGTAGCGATTTTTTTGTGAAACAGTGTCTGTTGTATTCTATAAATGAGTGACACGAATTTCGAGCACTGGTGTGCTATTAGGTCTTGCTTCATACTTATGCACAGTGTAACGGAAACTCTTGCTGGACTTAAGCAGGCCTACGGAGATAGCGTGTTGTCCAGAGCCAAGGTTTTTCGGTGGCTTAAGCCATTTTCAGAAGGGAGAGAGTCGATTGAAGATGAACCATGAAGCGGAAGTCCTTCATCTTCAAGAAATTGATGAAAATATCAACAGAATCCGGGATCTTGTGCGTTCAAATCGTCGGTTGACAGTTGAAGAGTTGAATTTGACTCATACCACCGTTCATTACATCAAGAATCAACTGGGTGCTGGATCACAATAATGCTCCTTGTCACATAGCAATGTCAATAAACGAGTTCAGTAAAAACATTCTAGTGGCTCCTCGGCCTTATTATTCGCGTCTTTGAGACTTTTTTCTCTTCCCGAAGTTGAAAAATCACCTCAGGGGAACTGATTTTGGTACAGTCGAAAACATTCAAACGGCTGCAACCGACCAGCTGAAGGCCAAGACCAATATCGGAGTTTCAGCACTGTTATGAGGAGTGGGAGAACCGTCTATAGCGCAGGGTGGCTACGGAAGGAAATTGTTTTGAGAGTTACAATAGAAAATTATAATTGAATAAAAAAATTTAAAAAATCAGTCTTAGCACTTCTTTTACAGACCTCGTACATCCGGATAAGATACGTTTCAACACAGAAATTTACTTAGTTCTGCCTCACAGAACCTTGAGTATTTCATTTTATATATTTTCTGCATTTTAGGTACAGTTAGATGAGATTTGGAAACCCAATGGTCTAGAAAATAAGACCAAAACTGGCAATTTGAAAACTGATAAGAGCAGAAATGATGTAATAAAGCAGGACGACCTGAATAATGAAGAGATTGCTAAATCCAATGCCGTGGATAACAACACAAAAGAAGCTCCTACAGACAGCAACAATATAACTGCAAAAGACTCTCAAACAGAAGTCAAGAACAATCAAAATCAACAAAACAGCACTGCTATTATACAGCTAGACGACTGCAATGCCTCATGGGTTGGCCAAGATACTCTAGCTTTGGAAAATCTAAATTTGATCGTTAAACCAGGCAGTTTATGTTGCGTGGTAGGTAATGTAGGTGCAGGGAAAAGTTCGCTATTGCATTTGCTGCTCAAGGAAATGCCAGTAGCCAGTGGAAACGCTGAGATCAAAGGAAATGTGTCGTATGCTAGCCAAGAACCGTGGTTGTTCAACTCCACTATTAGGGATAATATCCTTTTCGGGAAACCGTACTCACAAGATAGGTAAGATAGAATTTCGATCTCTCGCTATTACTTCCCGCAAAAATTGAGATTTCTTTTGGATGTTACATGTACATCACGAAACCTCATTTCTATCGGTCTGTTTGTGTGTTTGTCGGTTTGTCTGCTCGCTAATCCTTGATCCCTCTATAAAGTACCGGTCGGATTTTGTTAAGGACGAAAAAGCTTTGTAATTTTTGAAGATCGATCCAGTAACGGCGGAGCTACAGGCAGATAAAAAATGAATGACTCTCAAACTTTTTTGACGATATTTTCGTAAAGGTTGAAAATTGGAGGTGGGGGTGAGGCCTGACTGCTGACTGGCTGGCTAGGTTTAGCAACATTACCAGATGGTGAGTCCTGTCGCGGGAAAGAGCAAACATTTCTAGATTGCAGCATTTGGGATTATGAACTAATTGTATTTTTTGCTATACATGTCCGTAGCTAACTTTTTCTAAGAGGGGCTAACTTGTGTCGAACATAACCTTTACAAACTGATGTAAGTGCAGAATCAATGTACTTGACGCCTTTTTGTCCAAGTTTACTACTCGTACTAAAGTTGCAATTAGCTCTTGCAATTCACATATATTGACTCAAGAAAACATTAAAAGTTGCTCGTTGTTGCGGATGCGCTCACCCAAAAATCATATACATCTTACTGTCCTAGCGCTGTGGTACAGTGGTGTGTGCTCACGAGGCGACGTGGTGCAGCCGTTTGTTTTGCTTGAATGTCGCCAGATGGAGCACCAAAGACAGCTTGAGAGAACAATGGAGCAGTGGCGTGGGTAGGATTGAATTTGCCTCTAATAGGTGATTAATGCTAATCGAATACCGCGTGCGCCCATTTTTCCTATCTCTCTAAGGTAAATAAACCATTTGATCAGTGGCTGTTTTTTTTTTCAAGATACGATATCGTAGTCCGAGTATGCGCCCTAGAAGCAGATCTGGACCAACTGCCTTCCGGCGACAAGACTCTAGTTGGAGAGAGGGGCGCCATTTTGAGTGGTGGTCAAAGAGCTAGAGTAAATTTGGCACGAGCTGTTTACGCCGAAGACGACATCTATCTACTTGACGACCCTTTATCTGCGGTCGACACACATGTGGGGAAACACTTGTTCCAAGAATGTATCAAGAAGTTCTTGAAAGACAAAACTCGAATTTTAGTTACACACCAGCTGCAGTTCCTTAAAGAAGCTGATCAAATTGTTCTTATGAAAGAAGTGAGTAAAAAGTATGTTTGTTTCTATCACCTCAAGAAGATATGCTGAAAACACGACCTTATCACGTCAGTGATTCACTTGTCAAACCGATCATCTCCTTTTCTATATGATGAACATTCACGATAAAAGAGTTCATTCACTTATTACACTTCAATTGTTTTCAATTTTAGGGTAAGATAATGGAAGTGGGAAAGTTCGATACAATAGAAAATCTTCTGTGTTTCGCTGAAAATAATGAGACTGATACAGATTCTAATATTACCAAGAAAGAAAAACCGGACCAAGAATTGGAGAGGTCTGTACACCTTGACTCTTATGTTGTAAGTTAAATCATAAATTATTAATGTAGTTTATAGAAAAGTATTACCCTATTGTTCTACATACAAACCAGACATGAATATTTATGATGAATATGGGAATATTTTGTTGAAATCAAGATTGTCCTTGAATTTTTCACAATTCTTTTACACTGTTGTCAGCTGACTCATAATCTAAATGACCTGAGTAATTTATATCTCCCTAAAAGACACATTTTCCCCTTGGAGTGAGTATCGAACTGATCGAGCATATGTTATTATGAACCTAAAAAATGATTATATACTCTTAGGGTCCTAATGCTGATAAAGATGCCGAAGAAGAAGATGAATTAATAGAAAAAGGTGCCATCCCTACTTCTACATATTTAGAATACTGTAGAGCTGGTACAGGTGTGGCAGTTCTGATATTGCTTATAATTCTACTGATGATGGCACAGATGGCATCAAATGCTTGTGATCTCTGGCTGAGACATTGGTATGTGTACTTTTTTCGTCATACGTACAGAAAAGTTGTTTCAGTATATGAAAAAAACTGTTCATCAAAATTGTCTCGATTGTTTGGAAATTTTTGAGGTTCCATAATAATATCCAGTTAGTTCTTAATACTGGTCCAACAAAATGGTCCCACTTAGACTTTTACGACTGATGTTAGCAGATTCCATAACGTTCAAGGTGTTGATAAAATATGTCATGGTCTAAAGTGTGTTTACTAATTTCTATCCAACGTATTTCAGGACAAACAATGAAGAGATACGTGCTCTCCACGCTCATCGTCAATATCTCAACAACAACACACTTACTTTTGAGGACAACACTACTCTTGCTTACATCGTCACTGATAATGAGACCGAGCCTCTGTCTTATGACGATGACCCAGTTGTCATATATCTGGAAATTGACGAAAAAACGAGAAACATGTACATTATAGTCTACACCTTTTGTATTCTGCTGTCTATCATTCTAACTTCAGTGAGGTCTCTCCTGTATTACAAAGTGTGCATGAATACAAGCAAGGCACTTCACAACAATATGTTTGCGTGTATTCTGCAGGCACCGATGAGGTTTTTCGACACCAATCCATCAGGTAGGTTGATACAGATAAAGTCAATGCCAAGATAAGAAATCAAATCGCGGTAATTTTTTATCAAAAAAGCGTTGAAAATATGTTCACTATTAACCTGACAAGTCGCTATTTATACCTCTAATGAAATCAATTATTGGCACACGATAGTTTTGGATAACATTGTATATAAACCTTTGTTGAGAAGGAGATTAGTGACCATTCTTTTTTATCTTAAACCTTAGGCGGCAGCGGTGGCCGCCGTGGTAGACGCTTGCGAGGGTTGGAATCCCGTCCCAAGAGAAATTTTTCTCTTGGCTATTTATGTTGTGATTGTCCGTAGGTGGTAGACGATCTCTGGCTGTCGTACGCGGAGGTACCACCCGGCGGATCTCGTAGGCGGGGCCAGAATGTGTGCATGTTGCATGCACACGTGTTCCCTCGCTAGAGTCCGTGTGGCGTCCCCCCTTTTCCCCTGTATCCACCTATAGCCCCACGGTACCCCATGGGTGTTTCTTCCTTAGGCCTTCGTGGCAGGTGGACTATAAAAAAATAGGTGTGTAACTCATTATCCTTTCGAGGCCGCAGCGTAAAAGCTTTTGGATGAATAGAAAATTGAAGTTAGGCGTTCAAATTATGTTTTTTACCCAGAACAATTGTTACAGCTTATTTACCTTTTTTCAGGTAGAATTTTAAACAGGTTCTCCAAGGACATGGGAGCAATAGACGAACTGTTACCAACAGCTGCTTTAGACGCAATACAAATATGTCTAGTGCTCTTTGGAATCCTTACAATGGTGTTCGTAGTGGTGCCCTTAATGATCGTACCGGCCCTGGTACTTAGTGTACTGTTCTACTTCTGTAGAAGCATCTATCTGGCCAGTGCTCAAGATATCAAGAGGCTAGAAGGGATAAGTAAGAAGATGATTTTATGAAAGAATACATTGCAAATTAACGATATATTTTTTATTCTAGTTCCTGTCTATAAAAGTTGTAACAGGGAAAAGCAAAATGTGTTAGATTTGATTAGGTTTTCTTTTTACTTTTAGCGAAAGCTCCGGTATTCTCTCATACGTCTTCTACCCTTTACGGTCTAACAACCATAAGGTCGTCGAAAGCAGAGAGGATAATCACTAAGGAGTTCGATACACTCCAAGACCAACACACAAGTACTTGGTTTTTGTATCTAGCTAGCAGTGAGGCGTTTGGATTCTACCTAGATATGATCAGTACGGTGTTTCTAGCATTTGTCACATTCCAGTTCCTTGTGTTTCAATCAGGTAAAAAAAAACTTTAATCAGTAACTTAAGAAAGAATTAAAGTTCAGGCAATTTTCACTTGTGATAAGCATTTGACTTTATTTTGTCCGAGATCTGTAAATTAAGTGATGAGAGTTTTTTTTTATTTAAATATAATTACAATTTTATATTGTCACCGTCAAAATAACTCTCTTCTAAAGCCACATAGCGCTGGAGTCGCTCTTCCATTCCTCATAGCTGTGCTGGAACTCCGATACTGGAATAGGGTAGATGCACCGGTTGTGGCCACCTTAAGGAATCTTTTGACTTTATTTAACTGTAATTTATTTATTAAGTTAGTTTTCCGCTCTCGAATGACAGATACAATAGTAATAGGTATATTTGTCATGAGAAAATTTATCTAATTTGAATTAACACATTGACTGCGAACCATGATGAGGATACCCACCTCAGAAACTGAAATACTTTTTCGGAAGCCGGCAGAGAGCGTCGAAAGACGCCGTTCGCCTTACACCACAGGAGCGGAGGGCGTCTTTTGACGCTGTTCGCACTGAACGTGTTAAATGGGTCCGACAAACTCAAATCTATTAAAATAGCTGAAAAGAGCAGTTTTGCTAGTTGCGGCCACTTAGTTGCCACTTGCGGCCAGAGATTCCAGCAGTTGTGGCCACCACATTTAAATAAGTCAAAGGTAAAGTCTGGCAAACGGTTCTGTGACACCTAAAAGAATACAGCTAACCTAGGTTACTGTATATAACAATATATTTTCTATTGTTATCCATTAAGTAAGCATGACAATGATATCACTTCCCCCTTTCGTCGGAGGCACAGATCCGTTTGCCATAGTATACAAAGTAAGAACAAAAATAAAAGTATGTAGTTACTTTACTTAAAAAATACTAATTGACATAAACAAAAAAGTAGTTAAAATGAAAACATTTGTTTTAGTCAAGAACTATAACTACCTATTACTAAGTAGGAACAAGAATTAACAACTAGTTCTTAGTATGTAAAAAAACGTATCGACTCGTTGATAAACATAAACAAAAAAAAAATGAGTCTCGTTAAAACAAATGAACAGTTACACAAAAAAAATATTATAATAAGGCTTCCATTTCCGGAACTACATAAACCTCTGTGGAGGCCCCAGGAGCTCTCTAACGTGACTGAACCAACATCTGGATTCTTCAGAAACCGCACCCCTTGCCTTGTTTATAAATTCCGCATTTTTCTTGCTTACTTCTGGGTATTTCTTCATAAAGGAATCGAACCATTTTCTTCCTGGTGCTTCTTTAAAAACTTTCGGGCTGAATATCACATTCTTCTTGTATTTTTTTATTTGAGTACAGAAGACCTTCTGTATTTATAGGTAAACCTTTTGCAGAACAGTCTAGGATCCAGGAAACCAATTTTTGTTCTACTTCCGGGCCAAGAGTACACGTTGGGTCCACTTTTTTCGGAAATCATACTTTGTTTTACCGTAACAATCTATTTCGAACAGATGTTCTAGGGACATTAAATTGCTTACATGCTGTCAAAACGGGCATAGACTGATGTCGGATGGAATTAAGTGCTTTTTGCATAGCACTTTCCGAATCTGAAATAATTTACCGGAAGCCATAACTTTTCTGAAACCATAAAATTTCTGTTACTAGGTCCTCCTTTTCTACCTTGATAGTATTAAATTTTGTCATCTCTTTCTTCTTTGTGGCCACAACTGGTTTTTATGCCCCATTTGTAGTCACTAAAAGACCACAACTGGCGCAGAAGGAACCTTTGATGCTCCTGTTGTGGCAAATATTAGTTTAATTATTTATGGGTTAAATATCTACTTGAAACTGTGGAAATAACATGGAAAATTCCTTTATCAGTCAAAAAACACTCATTTTGAGTAAAAATATTTACATTCTTACATATAATCATGCATTTACTTACCTCGCGTCCCTGAACAAAATCCTTAAGAAAATCACAACATCCGCGCCAGGCGTTGGAAAACCGACTGTTGAAAAAACCCCGTAACCGACAAACCCAATTAAATGCCCAGGCGTGATCAAGATTGCAATACATAGTGGGATTTTGAATTATCTTATTGGCCAGGTTGAAAATGACGCTTAATATTTTAGATTTATTTCGTGGATGGCCACAAACGGTGCGAAGGACACAACCGGTGCGTCTACCCTTGCCTTCAGCTGGTCGATTACAGCCGTTTAAATATTTTCGACAGTCCCAAAACTCTTGAGATGATTTGTCATCGGGAAGAAAAAAGTCACAAGGACTGAGGTCAGGCGAATAAGGACGCTGAGGAGGCACAGGAATATTTTTACTGGCCTAAAACTCGTTTATTGACAATGCTATAACAAAGAGTAAGGTCTTCCGCTTCATGGTTAATCTTCAAACGACTCTCTTCTAAACCACCTAGGCTCTTGACGAAACACTATCTCCGTTGGCCTGCTGAACTTAATTAAGCTAGTGTTTCCGTTGCACTGAGCCCAAGTCGGAAGCAAAACCTTATAGCATACCGTCTCTGGAAATTGATGTCATTCATTTTTAGAGCACAATAGAAAAAACTGTTTCACAATAAAAAGATCGTCACGGACAACCAAATGACTCGAGGGAGTTCAAACTTGTACTGAAGGCGGGCTACATGTTTCCCTGTCTCCCCTACAAGCCCGGCGCCTTCAGTGTTACCAGATGGAACGCTACGTTGCCAGTCTCGTTACTTAATTTACAGACCTCGTGTATCTGTCATTTTACGAAAAAATACCTGAAATATTTTTCCGGCTAAACCGTTAGACTCTTATGAGGAAACATTAGTTCCGATAGTTGGAGTTGGTTTTTATGTGTTTTTTTTATCCAAAATTTTATTAAATCGTTGATTTTAGAATATAGCATCAGACTACAAAGTTTTTACGCAATAATATGTATTATGTACACATGAATGTAGTGAATATTTATGTATATGGTAAACCATTTTACTATGAAAAATTTAAGAAATTTGAATATTTAACAGACATACAAGATGGCTTTACATGAAAATGTTTAAAAATCACATTCACACTACATTTAAGGGTCACAAATTAAAAATATATAACATTATAGGAAATCCTCAAAAATCCAGATCTGCAGTATTTAAAGTAAAACACATGCCGAAAAGGATTCTTCTATATTTAAGCAAAAACAACCTGGTTTTCCTTTTCAAATCTCAAGATGTTCATTTCCATGCCCTATTATCTAAAGCACCTTAAAAACGTGTATGGCTCCAATGCGTTTTTTGTGAATCTCGTTATATAGGCTCCAGATGGTTGACCCATTTTCCAATAACGATCTCACTAACGAGGCAAAAGCTTGACCACACAATTCAAATCCATAAGAGCTAGCTTTGCGAATAATATACTGATAGCGAGCTGTAAATTTTAGCTTACAATCGATTGCATATATATATATGCAATATATATATTCAAAATAGCTCCTTTTACCAGTGAACATGATATATGAACATGTATTACAATTCAGTTATAAATTATTCAACTGACACCGTTGTACTAAAATATTTATATATTCCTGCGGCACCTCAGAGTCCTGATTGAATCTGACATATCTAAAAAGTTTTGAATCATCAACATAAAGTATATAATTTGATTTGAAAGGCGACCAATATCATTAACAAAAACAAGGAATAGTCTGGGACCAAGGTGATGTCCCTGAGGTACACCTGATTCAACAGTTAAAAATTATGGCATATATCTCTCAACTTTTACCTGAAGAGTTCGGCCCTTGAGGTCGGAAGTCAACTGAGACAAAAATTAAACATTCATTCCATAAGTAGCGGGTTTATTAAATAAAACTTCTTGATATATAAGGTCAAAAACCTTACTGAAGTTCATGTAAATGTACTTCATAACCTTTATCTAAAATTACTAATGCATGTATATATTTTTGGTTTGTCGTTATTAAGCGTGGATATGTATTTGAGGAACCAAGTATATGAAAATTATTCCGATATTCGTGTTGTATTTTCCTAATTCACCGAGGTTTGTCTATAGGCTTTACCTTAAGTGGTAACGTGGGACTGGTGATCTCGCAGAGTCTCATCCTAGCCGGCATGCTGCAGTTCGGTATAAGGCAAAGTGCAGAAGTGGCTAACAATATGGTCAGCGTTGAAAGGGTACTGCAGTACACGAAACTGGACAAAGAAGATTCCTTCCAGTCTATTAACAGGACGAATGTGGACAAAAGCTGGCCACACCAAGGGAAGATTCTATTCAAGAATGTTTACCTTAGATATGCTGCCGATGAGATGCCGGTATTGAAGAATCTCAATTTGGAGATCAGGCCCAAGGAGAAGGTGAGGTAGTCATTGGATCCTGTTGAGACGAGAATTAGATATAATTATGAGTGTTCACCCTAAAGATGTATCTTATTGCATGGTGCATATAATGTTGCTCCGAAATTCACGCAAGATCTGATTAAATAGAAAGCATAATTTTTCTTCTTGAAATTATTTTTACCGTAAAGTTCACTGTACAGAGTTAATGTATGGAGAAATCTTCCATTATCATTTTGCATAGATGTGCTTAAAATTTCGAAGATACTGCGTTGATTTTCCTTGTTCAGTCTACGAGTGTTTTTGTGCGTCTGTATATTGACATGGATAACTCATGTGACTAAGAAGACGGTACCACATGCCACACGTCTGAAACAATTCAATTACTACATGAGGCATTTGTTGGTTGTGTACTTCTCTTGTTTCGATTATCTAGATCCGTATGTGGACTTGTTGCTGCCTGAATTGGATAGTGTTGATGCGGATAACGTATGGTTTCAAAAAGATGCCGTGCCATCAGTTGTTACGTAAGACCTCTCCTGGCCTCTTCTTTTTATCGGATTATTTGAAGGGCGAGGTCAATAAACTCACATTTGAAGATGGAATTCAACACTGCCTTAACGAAATAATGTCATTTATGTAATATGGTCATGACAAAAGTGTGCATATGTTCCAGCTGAGGAAGTCATTTACCTGATGTTGAACACATTCGTACACCTTATCCATAGTCTGATGATTCAATATAGATATACTAATCCAAACAAGAAAACTGTGTTTCTGTTTAATTGAAATCCTGCTTGAATTTTAGACGTCCTTTAAAAGTGCGATCTTTTCTAGATTGGTGTGGTAGGTAGAACAGGCGCCGGCAAGTCCTCACTGATAGCGGCCCTATTTCGCCTGGCTCCTCTTGAGGGCACTATCTCCATAGATGACGTTGATACCTCAACAGTTGACCTGAAGCTGCTGCGCACGAAGATGTCCATTATTCCCCAGGAACCTGTGCTCTTTTCGGCTACAGTTAGATACAACTTGGACCCCTTTGATGCTTATGATGATGCCACGCTTTGGAATGCTCTCGAAAACGTAAGTGTTAAAGGATGAATTGTGTTGCTTATAGATCTTAGCTTTAGAGTTTCATTAACAAATATCTCAAAAATATTATAAACGCAGACTTATAAACTCCGCCACTTATCTCTGGTTAAGGTCATTTGGCAAATGCCATGCAAGAGACATTGTGTTGTTGGAAATATCAGTTTACGGCTTACACAAAAGAAGATTCGTTGGCTACCACAATTTTCACGTATCATTCTGCAACGAAGACGCCTTTTTTTCTATTCAAAGTCGAACTTATTACTCTCACACTAATTTATTACAACACTTTCAACTAATTTGGGTTAAGTTGAAAAATGCTTTATAGCGACACTTCGCCTTTTTATACTTTGTACAAATAAAGCCGGATGATTATTATTATTATTATAATTTATCACAAAATGACTATGTCTGCTGACTCATCATCCGCTGCCGGTCAACTCTGCCCACTTATGCTCTATGTGTGTAAATTTAACTTAAAATCGACAAGTCCAGAAGCACTCCCGCGAATTATTAGGCACAACTCGAGCCCTATGCGAAGCTTGCTAGATGGCGGTCGATGTTTTGCGAAGCGTGGCGAACTTTCGCGAGGGGCGCAATTCTGCCTTCCTGAGCGCTGATATACGAGGATGCCTCATTGGTACTCTAAGCTCTGGTGATGAAGGCGTTACGATTCTAACATAAGATTTATCTTTTATTACAGGTGAAACTGAAGAGTTACATAAAAGACCTGAGCCAGGAGGTGAACGAAGGTGGGTCCAATTTCAGCGTTGGCCAGAAACAGTTGATTTGTCTGGCAAGAGCCATCATCAGGAATAACAAGATATTGGTGCTGGACGAGGCTACCGCGAACATTGATGAAAAGTGAGCAAAGAATATAACAAAAATGCATGTTTTGTTCATTTAATTTCATTTGTTCATTAATATACAACTCAAAAATTCAAAATCAGCACCAACCTCCAAAGTCATGAGGCTTGCTGTACTTCGATCCAGAGAGCTGTTAGCGCTTGTGGAAGATGAGGCAAAGAAATTTGGGGACGGGTATCATCTTGTAGGAAAATAGGGTTCTCAAGAATTTGGACAGATGGGATAAGATGGGGCTGTAGAGTTTCCCTGCCATTATACCTCCTCCAATGAAAACTAGAGGTGGCTCAGCACCATATTTAATCGCGCCCCAAACGACAACTCCGACAGCGTGATTCACGTGACGTTAAACTGAAAGCTTTATATTAATACGGCTTTTTCCTGCGCCTTCTGACACGTGTTGCTCAATCATGCATTCATAAACAGAATCAAGGCTCATCATCAAAAACAATGTTAGACCATTCATAATCCTAGTTTTCGGTCTCGGTTCTGTTTAGGAATGCACGGACGCGGGTATATGTTAGAAGACACTGCGGAGGACATAATGTAAAGCCTTCAGTAGAACGTGACATGCACCATACTGTAGGAGTTACTGTTTGGTGCACTACCGCCTATATGGTGCTAAACCACCTCTAATTTTCATTATAGGAGGTACGGCGGTGCAAAGGTATATCCAGGAAATATCGGAACCCTATATTTTGCAATTAATCCAAACACTTGTGAGCACTCCTTTCCAACAAGGAAATGACTGTCCCCTTATTTCTAGAACTACGACGGACTGCCTCAATAACGCTTAACTCGATCTCCAAACTATCTACGTACAAACCTTTCGACCGCTGAACATGTGCGGAACATGATGGAATAAAGAGTTACCTCTTTACCTCAGCCTCCAACAACGCTAACGGCTCTTAGGAATCAAGTACAGCTAGCTTCGGACTAGTTACGTCAAGAAGGCATGTCACTTCTTCAGAAGCATATCTCAATGACTGGATGAGTTTATATGGCATCCAAGTGGACCAGCGCAGTACTAACAAAACCTAGTGATACTACAAATATTTTCGCTTCAAAATACAATCATGACTCCTTGCTTATGCCTAACTCTATACAAAAATTCATTCAAATGAAATCGATTTTGCTGAGTGTCCTATTTTCTGTGTCACTGAGTATATATAGATTCACTTACCAAAACTAAGTAGTCTGATCGCTATAGGGCTACATTTCAAAATTGTATAATTCGTTCAGACTCCGAAAAGGAAGCCATGTTTGTACCGTGTTGTGGTAGCTACAGAACATCAGGCAATCGTGTTGTTCCGTGAGTGTACACTGCTTTTTGCCAAGAGATGGCACAGCACCCGTCAGTAATCATCATACTCCTTGGGCTATACAAACACTCAGCCAATGGTCGTGGTGTAAAATCACCTACTGCAGACCCTTGATCCACGCTGAGCGCTAGGTAAGTCACAGCGCGCGGATAAATGGATTGCTGCTACGTCATCTTTAGGCACAGAGCGTAGTAATCGCGGCGCAGCATGATGTAAATATTTTACACAATGAGCATTTTCTATGGTGTGTTGATTTGCTTTCCATAATTCGATATTCCACGATTTCAGCACGGACCAGCTAGTCCAGGCAGCAATCCGATCAAACTTCTGTGAATGTACGGTGCTGACAATAGCACATCGATTGAACACGATCACAGACAGCGACCGGGTGCTGGTGATGCACGATGGACAGGCGGTGGAATTCGGTCCGCCCTCCGAGCTGTTAGCCAATCAGGAGGGAGTTTTCGCACGTATGGTCCGAGAGGCGGGGCCTGAGGCGGAGGCGGCCATAAGACAAGCTGCGCAGGAGGCGGCACTTAAGAGAACGAGACAAAATCAGGATGACGCATGTTGAGAATGTGTATGTGTTGTTGGCAGATTTTTGTACTTATTGCGTAATAAAGATTTTCAGAGACCTGTGTATTATTTGAGACATCTTATGTAAGTTTAAGCAGATCTGATTATTTGCATCAGAATCACAGTGTATGTTTGCGGAATACACGTGTGGAGTTAACTTCACCAAACACTCCCATAAATCCAGCAGGAGTTTAATTCTTGATTGAATCAAGAGAGTAGAAGAACTGAAAGTGATGGGCGTGGTCCTCTTACCTTTGGAGGAATAGTATTTTTGAACACTGATAGAAAACAGTCGATCTTCGAGACATTATCGGGAGAAAAAAAACACGAAAGTTTCGGTTTTTTCGTCTATCGGGCTCAAGGCTAGTTAACATTTTGATGGATAGTTTAATGATATGAATAACCCAGGAAAATATTGTTTTGCCGAAAAGGCTACTACGCACTTGTATTTGATACTTGTTAAGAATTCTCGAAAATTGATATCATTGCACAGGGAAGAGAACCACGCCCACTTTGTCTCTGTGATTCTACTCCCTCATTTTTGAGAATAGGGGTTATCTGATATCGGCTGCTACCGTTCGAGGTGTATAGTTGCCAAGTCACTCTCACCAGGAACGAAAAAACCTTTCATATAAGATTTTTAGGTATTTATTAGACCTACAAAATGAGACCACACGTAAAAAGATCTGACTAATAGCAAAAAAGTTATGGCAAAAAAACAATTCAAAGTGCAGGCTTTGGCACTTGTTGGTAATGCGTCGATAGTTTCTCGCCGATACTTGCTCAATAAACTAATAGTGATGGCCGGAAAACATGTTTTGGGATAAGCAATTAGAAGTTCTTAAAAAACTACTTGTTCAATATACTCCAATTTTGTTGTTGTTATTAAGAAGTATAAATCCTACGGATTTGAAGAATTTCCAGTAGTTGCTTAAAATCATCGTCGCATTACAAATAAGTGCCAAAACCTGCATTTTGCGTTTTTCGGCCATAACATTTTTGCTACTAGTCGGATCTTTTTACGTGTGGTCTCATTTTGTAGGTCTCATAAATATACCTAAAAATCTTATATGAAAAGTTTTTTCGTTTCTGTCAACACTTTCGATTAAATCCCAAAAACACGTTTTCTCATTCTTTTTTGTCAAATAAAAAGTTTTCCCACAAAAATTGGTCTACCCATTTTATGCGTCCATGTTTGAAATACCCCCTTGAACAACCGCGATAACATTAAATATTTATGAAATATTTAAAAAAAAAGATTTGTTAATATTTAATAAATATATTTCTTATATATTCATAAAATACTAATTATAGATATTTGTAGTATATATAATTCATATATTTTTCCCAAATATTTAGAAAATATGAGGAAAGATTTTTAAATATCTATTTTATATTTTGATGAAATATATAATATCGAAAAACTCACCCTTTTCCAGAAAAAAAAAACACAAATAATATACCACTTGGAATTACACAGGAAGCACGCTATCATAATAGTGAAACTAAGAGGCATAACGGATGCCGGCAAACGGGTCGGCTTAGGTCGACTTGCTATTATGCCATTGGTCGCTCGGGGATACACGCACATGCGCCGTAGCCGATATTTAACGAATATTTTCTAAATAATGGAGATTTAATATTTTCCATTGATTGAAAAGTAAATATTTAATAATATTATAAAATAAATATTGTATTTAAAATATATTGAATATTTAATAAAAATATTATATTCCAAATATTTGTTTAAGATAACAAATATTTAAGTAAGATGGAAATATTAAATATTGAATAAATATTCACTGAATATTTCGTGCTATCGGGGAACTTGCGAGAGTAAAACCAGACTTTACATCTATTTCGGGGAAATTTGCTAATATGATTAGATTATTACGACATTAATTTCCTCCATTCAAATTTTTCTAATTGCACCATACTGTGGCGTAATTTTTCCAGAAAGTGTTTTATATTTGTTTAAAGCAGCAATAAAACATCGCTAGTACACGTTTAATAATTTATTATGGCAGTTTTGTCTATACATTTTGGTATAAAAGTTATTAAAAACATTTACAGGTATTAATATAAATATAACCAAGAGGCGTAGAAAACTTCTCTGTATATAAATAACATATTTACAAAAACCGTTATCTTGACCAGAAGAACTCATAAATATTCTTTCTGCCTGTTTTGCGTATCAAATGTAACAACAATGTTCAAAGGTTCTAGACTTTCCCACAACTAGACTCAAAAACAGTACTCTATGTGTAGTTCAATAAACATTTTGCAAGTCTTAAATTGCTTATGAGATATAATAACTGTGGCGACAGGTACGATTTATTTCTCTCAAAAATAACTTATTTTTCCGGCATATTTACGGTTCCAGTATAGAGAGTAAAAATACAGTTTTGCATCTAGTTGATGACTGTGTATTTCCTGTCATTTGAGGTCTAGTTTCTCGGAAATACAGAACCTGTACACATATATCTTCACTCAAATCATTCATTGATTAGAACAAAATTGTAGCGACACGATCCATTTACAGAACAAGCGCCAAAAACACAGATTTGATATATCTAAAATATGCAACAAAAACATCATAATACATACAGTACAAACTAAAATCACAAAAGAAAAATAAATAAGGCTATTTTACAATATTATCGCTTAGAAAATTTGAAGCACTTTTGTTATAGTCACGATTCAAGTGTTACAGCTATACAAACCTTTTTTTACCGTTTGTCGGGGTAAATAGTACCAGCATTTTAGATTTTACATACCCGCTCTACACCATGTCAACTCTATCAAATCTCAAAGCTAAGTCGTGGCAGAGAAATGCAACTGATATACTAACTTCTGGTTGAACTTATATCACTTCTGTAGTGAAGGTTGACTCGAAATATACCTATATATCTTCAGTGGCATATGCTATCCATCAGCTAGCACTTTTCCAACAGCCATACATCCATGTAGCATCTTTTCTTGAAAAGGTTCGATTGGTGCTGGCGAAAGGAGGCTCTTACAGACAAAACGTCTAATACCTGTTTTACATGAACAATTTCTTCAGGAATTTATTTAGATGGATTTCTTCAAGGTCATGCCGATAATATTTTTACAGTACGCGGTAGTGTCGCCAACAGTACCAATCACACAACAAACTCTTGCTAAAAACATTCCGTTTTTATATACACATGTATTGCGGTTTTGATCTTGAGGTGAAAAAGAAACCATAGCGTTAAATACTGTTCTATCAAAGTTTTATACTTGATTTGAAAACAAGGCATCATGGAGTTTGACATCCAACTTGACGCAAAAATTGGAACAGGTTCATTAGAACCTGCCTGCAGAAGTCCACGGAGAAGTTCATTAATTTATTTTGATGTCAAATTCCTCTTTTATATATTGAATATAGTTCATGGCAGAAATCCATGGATTTATTGTCAATGTAAAACGAGTATACGACGATAAGTGTGTCAAAGAGCGATTGAAGTTCAGATCATGTCACACAACTTCATTATGTGGCAACGTAGCAGACTATATAATTATTGTATCAAATATTACAGACTTTTGACAAGCAACATTAGTTAAACAACCTTCCCTAATAAACTTTGATTCGAATGTCATTTGGTTCGAGTCACTTGGTGAATTTAAGCCGATTTTTCGTTGGTTAATCGTCATGCTTCATTTTTTTTTATTTCATGACTGTTAGGTCACTTGCAGGTTGACATTTCACTTTGACGACACGTTCAACTTAGCAAACAAATTAGAACAGGCTATAGTCGCGTGCAGAAATCCACGCAGACGTTCATGAATCTAGTTTACATCAAATTTCTGTTTTATATATTTGAAATTTGGCCATATAGAAATCTATGGATTAATTATCAATGTAAAATGGGTATACGAAGATGTATGTTCTTGAAAACCCAGTTACCGTGACAATGTTGCAGAATATTAAATGTTACAGAATTTTGTCAATTACAGTGGCGGCTCGTGACAAAATAAAACAGGTGTTCTGCAAATCCGAACTTATTCATTTTTTATATGTCAGTTCGATCCTGCGCTCCTTCTTGGCAGCATATTTGTCGATCACCTTCCTGTTGAAATTTTCCATGGTCGAAATAAATTCATTTTCAATGGACAGCATCGACAACGCTGTAAGGCGATCCTGGGTAATAGGATTTCGAAGAAAGGTCTTGATTCTTTTCAATGTTGAGAAATTTCGCTCAGCCTCTGATGTTGACATAGGAGTTGTAACAATAATTTCTAATAGCTTTTTTGTTTCTTTTAGTGTTTCCTCCAAACTATTTTGTATCAAAAATTTCAAAACAGACAGAGTTCCATGTAAATCTCGGCAATCATTCCGTGCATAAATAACAGACAACTCTGTCTTTAAACGACTTTTTTCTAATTCGGGATAAGCCAAGCAGGTAGTTTCCAACTTGTCATCAAGAAACTTAGCACAGTATTCTCCAAAGTGTTCCGGGAAAAAAGGGATGCGGCTGTCAAATGATCTTTGAATTGAAGTCATTTTCAGAATTCACTATATTGTCGCATACTTCTAATGCGGCAACTCGGTCATCGTGACTGCTATTAACACGTCGTCTCCTTTTGTTGCCTTGGGGTTCAGTGCAAATACTTTTGGCTTTATTATGTCATCAATTTTATTTCTCATATCGACAATGCATTTTTCAAAATTATCGATAGCCGTTTTAATTTGTGCTGGCTCTGTTTTTCTCTTTTGCAACTGGTTGAACAAGATACCGACATGAGGCTTGATGTGATGAAAAAATGTCAGCCAAAACACGAAAACAGAATCGTTTAACATACGGCGAATACCGCAAGCTGCCTTCCAAACGGTTTTATTAGTGATATTTTCTTCTATTTCTTCCATTCATTCAATGAGTGATTCTATGTTCTCAAACACTACATTTATTGTTCGAATATTAAAATTCCAACGAGTTGTTGCTCCTTGGGAAATTGTTTCCTCACAATTCTGTTCGGTACCTCTACGCGTTGAGAAGAATTACTAAAAAATTCCGGAATATCTTTCAAATCCCCAAAGGACACCCGAACTTGAGCATTTGCGGAAGCAGCATCAGGTTGAACTGATGCGCATAGCAATGCACATAGTGAGCAAATGGATATCTTTGTTTAATTTTTGCCTGTACTCCAGCATTATGTCCGCTCATTACCGCGGCTCCATCATAGCTTTGTGAAATCAGTTTGTTAGAGAAATTTCCTGTTAATGGATTACGACGCTCAAAATATGTCTTGAGTATCAGCGTCACATTTTTTGGGATTCATATAATTCCAAAAACGTTCTACTGGTGCGCCGTTAAATACGTATCTGAAAATTGTTACCAGTTGGGGTTTCTTCGAAATGTCCGTTGTCTGCTATTATCGCCAAATACGAGGCTCTGTTAATCTGTTTTATTATTTTTTCATGAAAAACAATCCAGTAGATCGTTTTGTATTTCTTTCGAAGTTCCTTTAAATATTGAAGGATTTATTAAGTGTTCGCTTAAGGTTGTATCAAGCTCAGCAGAAAAATTAATCAGTCCAAGAAATATTCCCGGGTTTTGGGAGCTCTCGGTTTCGTCGTGGCCCCATAGCTCCAGTTCAAATGCTACGTAAAATTTTATACAATCGATTATTTTTGATACAACGTACCTGTTTTTTGTACCGGTATCATTATGCTGTTGTATATTTCTCCAATATGCTGAATCTAATTGAGCTCTGATGTTAACAGTCCCCAATAAAGCCAATTCCATCGAATTATGAAGATATGATTTAAAGTTTTCATGCTTCTTAATTTTTTCACTCAGGTGCACTAGATCTGTAACACCTACCTCCGTCCAAGCTTTGTCACCGCCGAAAAGTAAGCAAGGAAAGCAGAAAAGGGCATTCTTCTTGTTGCACCCACAAATCCAGTCATTTCTGGTGTAAATCTGCTGAAATGCCGCGTATAGCCCTTGCCCCGACTAACGCCCTGTGTTTCTATAAATATGTCCGGCTGCGGTCGACCTAACACCTTCAGCCCAATTTTTTCTTCAAATGTGTATTTCCAGAATCGTTTCACACTGATAAGTATGTAAACCGCATCCATTGTCTTGCATCACCCTTCTACACAGCCACAGTCAGTCAGTGAGTCACTAGTCACTCAACGTAAGACCCAAAATACCTAAATAAAAAAATTTTAAGCCACGTCACGCGACAAGACCAATATGCCAATACCGCCGAGGACCGAGCACCCACCGACCAATCAGATATAGTACTTCGCATTAGATCCGTACGGATCTGTATAACTTGCAGCACATGCTTATGCTTAAATCGCGCATTTGATTTTGTAAAAAGCAAGCGCGTGAGGCTTGTGTCGAGGTAGTGCACACACCCTGTTCAAGTGGCCCATGAATAATGTTACGCTGCGGTCGCGACGAAAGTGACAAGTACACAATTGGTCGATTATAACGCTTTCTCAGTAAAAAACAGACTCGACGCCGTGTCTTGCGGGGGCAGCATTGCCGGTATTGTTTCTATTTGTGTGATAACATGGAAAATAAATAATGATCAAATTACTACTGCTTTTTTCTGTTAAGACAAAAGTTTTGGCAGTTCTGCAGCTCTGCAGAACTTAAGGGCCAGCCGCCCCTGTCAATCAATATTAGTTAAACAGCCTTCCTGATTTGAATGAACCCAATTTTTTGTCAGAATATCATCATGCTTTATTTTTGATCTCGCATAACAGTCAGGACACTTGTATGTTGACATTTCACTTTGATGACACGATTTTAACTTTTCATATTGTGTTTCTATGATTATAGTTATACCAAATGAGTATCTATATTCCATTCTTTTAATGCTCTTGGTAGACCTAAAGTTCTTGAAATCATGCCGTTAAAAAACCGCTCTGTTGGGACCCATATAATAAGTAAATGTACCAGTTGCATTTCCTACCATGATTCATTGATATTTCGATGAGACTTCTTTGTTTTTTGCATTACTACCTGTGATTATACAATCTCAAGTTAGGAGCTATTGTTCTTTGACAATATTTAGGCCTACGAGACACTTTCTGCTCCAACGTTACTTGAATTATGAGTTGCGTTGGAATCTATGCTGTTACAGTCGGAATCATTCGAATGTGGGCTCGAATAGTTTGCTGCCTCTTGCAACCTGCAATAAATACCAAACTTTTTAATTTATCGATAACTGCAGAGGATATAGCGAAATCTATTCGCTCATGCTATGACAAAATACAACAACAATGACCGAGGTTGGATTCATGGCGGAGAGGTTTCTATGTCTCATGTCTGAAAATCGCTAAAAAAATCTATTGCCACCCATACAGGATCGGCTGATAAATCATTCGGTCAAGTATTTTATTTGTATGAGAGAGATAGAAAGAGAAACACGTATATTAGAACGAGAGCGTGAATGAAGCGAGTATATACAAGGGCAACAAGGCTGTGGACGCCTGATTCGCGTTCTTGTCCTAACAGCCATATTTCGCTTGTTTACATTAAATACCAGACCTCAATGATTCTCCCATCCGATCCTGTATATACTTTCAATATCTGTATACCAGCTAAGTTAAGAAAAAAGGAAGATTCACCGGTGCGATGTGGAAAAAAAATAATAAAAACAGGACTCAAATTTTGATGTCTGATCTGTACAGCGGTTTTTAGAAAGGTCCCCAGTACTTATTTTTGAACGGTGAAATTAGTAAGCTGAAGTTTGGGATGGTGCAATTATATTTACGTATGAATTTGACGTTTGAAAACGTCAAGATGGCGGCCTACGAGTGCTTCATAACCTTTAAATATAAAATCAATATCTCAAAATGGCGGTCTTGCAGGCTGTCAAAGTTAACTGTTTTTTTATACTGAATGAGATATTCTGTCTATATTCTGCCTAAGAAATGACAGATTTTGACATTTTCTTTAACTGGAATGTTTCATATTTTACTATATACTCTTATTAGCCTTTCCAAGAAGAAAACATATTATAGCTTCTTGATGATTGGATGTCGAGTTATAAGTGACGATGCATAAAAACGCTCAACCTTGATAGCCTGCCCAGTTTGCCATTTGGAGGGATGTTGATTTTATGTTTTAGGATTATAAAGTACTCATATGGATCGTCAAAATAAGGTATCACACGATCTTCCATTCTATTAAACAAATTATAAAATTGCGCCTAGACTCCATCTTGAAATTTTCAATTGTGTCTATTATGCTGAAATATAGTATTCATGCATCAATCTCATTGGCCCAAATTTCAGCTTGCTTGCTAATTTGACCCGTTCAAAAACTAAGTAAGGGGGGAGGGTAGGGTTAAACACACTTTGTATAACATTATTACGTATTGAGTACTTTTTTGTACTGCTTAAAAAATGTTTTATGCAAAAGTTATAGTCCAGTACACATTTTTCCTGCCATGTTCTTTCTGTATAAAGATGTCAGTGATGCGTTTAAAAAAGGGTAAACTTTATTCGATAGATGTTTTCTGAGACATACTGTACACAAAAAAATAGAACAAAAAACTTATATTAAACTCCTATAACTTTCAGATGAAACTTTTTTTACCATCGTACAAATACGTTAGAGAGGGACCAATTTATAGAGATATCCTGTTTTAAAGCGTCTGGCAGAAGTTATGGCCGGCGGGAAGTGCTGAATCTCATCATATTACTTTGCAATAATGTTTTACGAGTATATAGAAAAACATTCATCAGAATCCAAGTTAGTTATAATTTTACTTAACTGTCCCACCTGGTACCAGCAAATCGATCGTCTATCCAACTTAGCAGGTACACAGGTGTTCAAAGTATACATAAATGCTTCTCAGTGCTCCACGTTTTGTCTTCCAGAAAATAAGTTACGTCTGGCAGCACTGGAATCTTAGTCAATACGGTGAATAAATTACTCACCTCATCAGCATGCTGAGCAAAGGATCTCCATCTCCCTCATCAGCACCACTAGTGCTGCCAGTACTAGTCCCCGTAGTTCCGCCTTCTGGCAGCCCTACGTCCCTTGCGGGTATGGTGGCCAACCCATGAGGCGGCGCTCCAGGCCACGGGTATGTCTCCAAGACGAAGCGAGCGGGGTCCGTCCACGGGGCTCTGCGTCCGTACAGTCGAAGGCCTTCACGCGCAGCCTCGCGCAGGTACGGCGCCAAGGAGTAGTTCCACACGTCGGCGAACCATGCTCTAGCGGCGTCTAGTTCAAGAGGGCAACCTGCAAAATGTAAAAAATGATTTAACACTTCGCGGCCAGGTTTACCTTATTATTATGAAATCGTCCATTATGTACTCGTATTATACATACGAGTTAGTAACATATCTATCTATACAGGGTATCCGCAAGGTTAGGACTTTATATGGCGTATAGATCTAAAAAAAAATAAGCGGTTTTTCTTTGTACCAAGTACACCAAAGTCTCAAGATATTAAATTCCGCAAACTCGATCAAATCTAAACCAAAACTAATCCGCTCCTGTATCTCGATCAGATCAAAAGTGAGAAGGTACGACGCCCGTTAGTTCTCCACTCAGGCACCTGCAGCGTATGTAAACAAAACATTTATTTACCACTCGGTTTGAAAAAAACAAAAGGGCAGTGTGCACTACGAGTGTCATACAGCGATATCGAACTTTGCAACCAGTGCATTTCAGTGCAGTGCAGTCCAGGTCAGTCTAGTGCAACCCGGTACAGTGCAGTTCAGTTCAGTACAGTGCAGTGCAGGTCAGTCCAGTGCAGACTAGTTCAGTCTTATACAGTCAAGTGCTGACCGGTGCATTTCAGTGCAGGGTGGTGCAGTTTAGTACAGTTCAGGGCAAAGCAATTTAGTACAGTGCAGTCCAGTGCAATCTACTTCATTCCAGTGCATTGCAGTGCAGTACCGTCCAGTTCAGTTTATTGCAGCCCGGTGCGGTCTGGTGCTGTTCAGTTCAGTACAGTTAAGTGTAGTGCAGCGCAGTGTAGTGCAGTGCAGTTTAGTGTAGTGCAGAGCGGTTTACTGCAGTTTAGTGGAGATCAGTGCAGTGCAGAGCAGTCCAGTTCAGTCTAGTGCAGTCCGGTGCAACTTATCGCTGAAAATCTGTAAAGCGCTCATCTAGTTGTAAGTTCATAGCATCAAGTTTATAGATGGCAACTAGTTTTTAGCCATTCAAGTTAGTTGTCACTCCACTGAAATTACACCACCTTACGAGAAATCACATGTGTCGCAATCTGAAGACGTGTCCATCATGGAAGCAGACTGTGGTTTGTGACGAGAATTGCTAAGATTACTATGAAACAAAGTTACTTGGAATTCGTTTTTGGAAAGAGGGCAATGAATAGATACTCTTTAGCAGGAAAACTTATCTTTGAGGATGTTGAGCTATGAGGCCAAAGTACGATAAAAACTGTCATTAAAAAACCGATTTACTTACTAAGAAATAGCCGAGGTCCAATAGCGACATCTCCACTGCTATGTGTTTCCAGAAATGCATTCAGGTGTTGCCACACTCTGGGCAGCCACCCTAGAATGGCTGCCAATTCAGGTTGAGGACCCCGTTCGAGTTCCAGTGTTGCTAAGCGACGTCTCAGCACTCGCCCGAGAAGACCACGAGCGGGTTCCATGTGAGGGGCGACTAGTACCCATCGGAAGCCGTGTTGAAGCTGGAGACTGGTGGCCGAACAGGCACTCTGCGCCATGGTACCTACAAAAAATGGGTATGAAGGGTGAACAGATGTTTAAGCTGATATCATAAATAGCTCCTTGGCAGGGTAAGATTACAATTATTAATCGCATTGCGCATTTTGCCACGCATTGACTCACCACTTGATCACAGGCTAAGTAACCCAAGCATTATGAGAAAACTTTGCTTATATAACTCAAGTGGTGTCCAATGACTAATGGACCATTAGTCTGTTGTACCTCGAAGTTAAGTGTTGTCGAAAGGGACTAAGGGATTACTAGTGATCAAGTGTTGAGATAATGCGCAATGGTATAAATAATTAAAACTTCAAACTATTTTTCACCATTCTCTATTATGACAAAACAAATAACAGTTGATTATCTAGTGGAATTTCATACACCGCATATCGTCAAGTGACACACAGTCGTATTTTTTTATGTCTTTTTGTTATGCTTCCTTTTTTATAACCAATCGCAAAGTTACAAGTCGGTATGTGAAAATAAAATGATATACACGTTGTGTGTAAATTGTTCTGAACACGGTCTTGAGCTTCACTAGATTCATTATTGTCAACCGTACAGTCAGTAGCTGATCAGCTATTTACATCAATAGACATCAAAACGTGACAAATAAGTAGCGTGAAAAATAGTTTATCTTCAGAACGTTTTTGTAATCAGGTACTGTAGAAAAAGATGCTCCCATTCGTGATAATTCAGTCATATCAGACAATTGCCTCAGAAAATCTCGTCTCCGTGTCTTAAGATATCAAAGGTGAAAGATCACAAAAATCGTTTTTTCGGGTTTGAGCAGTTAGCTCTTATAGGCGTAACATTTACAGGGTGATTTTAGCAAAGTTATAAAAAATGCTAATTATGCAGGACTTTATATTCCTTCATTACCTGTAGACCTAATACCACGTATTATACGTATTTATAGGAATAATGCTTGAATTTGCATTTTGCTATAAATAGCTAAACGCTGCGCGCTCTCAGCCCCCTATCTCTAAAACGATTTATTGTATGGAAAAATGTTTGAAACAAGAATTGTAGAGAATATGATTCTGACTTGAACTTAGTACATTTTTAGTTTTCTACAGTCCATCAGGTTCTGCTCGTTTGCCAGCCCTAGTCTCTTTATGGTTTGCGCTAACGTCTGCATAGTCATAGTCATTTGACGTACACCGACGTCGCGTGATCACATTTTTCATGTGCTTACCTATAAGACATGGAAGATTGCGAGGAAGCTGTCCTAAAGCTTCGGCCAATGAGTCAGCTTTATGGAGGTCATCTAAAACTACAACACACGGCAGAGCATCCGCAGCTTCGCCGCCCGCTGCAGCTTGCTCACTCAGGTGTGACAGGTACTGACGAAGATCTTTGGCTGATTTGTTATCCACACTGAAAAAAATGACAAGATGTATTGACAAGTATTATTGTTGTTATTGAAGATTTATTTACCATTAATGCTACGATGATTCGGTTACATATTTTTCCTCAATCCATTTTCTGTAATTTTACATTTTTGTCTTTTAAAATTACATGACTATGCATTTTGATTATTCATAAAGTGACTTTTTAATTTCACCTTAAACATTTTTAAATTCGAACACTGTTTAATATCATTGTTCAATTTATTAAATTCAAATACCCCCTTTTGAAATATAGATTTACTAGTTATTACAATTTTACAAATGAAAATCTATACTGCCTATGGTTTCGTAGTTATGATAATGACTATTTAATTTTGTGAAGTTTTCTAAATGTGGTGGTAATACATGATTTTTTAATTTGAATATGAAAACGAGAACTGAATAATATATGAAATTTTCACATTCAACCACTGTAGTTCTTCTAACATAGATCTAATCCTAGCATATTTGTTTTTATTGGAAATGATTCTCATAGCATTATTTTGTAGAATTTGTAATTTTGAAAATATGTTTTCGTTTGCTGTAAACAAGATGGTTGAACAATATAAAAAATGGCGAAGAATTATAGTGTTACAATTTTTTTGGAATTATGGATTATGGGAAACTATAGAAGTAATTTTTTTATAATTTTGAAATAATGTATTCACAATGCTCGTGAATAATTCGACTACTTCAATATTTTCATCATTAATCATGAGTCTAATTGTATTGTCATCTAAATGTTTCCCTATTGACATACATTTTGTTTTATTAGTATTTATTTTAAGTTTACTGACATTTAACCAATTCATAATTTTTTTGGTATCACTATTCAACAGTTCTAAAGCAGTGTTCAAATGCTTATGTGCTATACAGGGTGTTCCATAATTATTGCGACAAAATGATAGGGGTTGTAGAGGGCATCAAAATGAACAATTTTGCCTTATAAACCCCTGTTCGGAAATATGCCGTTTGGGCTGCAGCAAAAAAAAAAAGATCAGTTTCTTGAAACAGCTTACCTACAGTAATTGCTCAAAGTGTCCTCCACCTTGCTCAATACACAGCTGTGCACGATTGTTCAATGATCGGCGAACTCTGTGGCATACCCCCGGTATGTCCTGAACATGTGCGTACGCGGCCATCACTCTTCCCAGTCGCTCTTGTTGGTTGGGAACAGGAGTTTCGTACACTAAAGCTTTCAGATGGCCCCAGAGAAAATAATCCAGTGGGTCTGGTCGAGTGACCGCGCAGGCCAAGGCACAGGGCCACCTCGCCCTATCCACCTATTTGGAAATTTGTCGTCCAAATACTGCCGCACTTGTGAAGAAAAGTGGGCTGGAGCGCCATCGTGTTGAAACCACATGTTGGCTCTTATGTTCAGTGGCACATTTTCTAATAGTTCCGGTAGCACATGCTGTAAGAATCGACCATAAGCATGCCCATCCAAACGTGGTGGACGCAAATATGGCCCGATGATATGCTCGTCCACAATGCCGCACCAGATGTTAATTGAAAACTGATGTTGGTCTCTATGGATGGCTATGGCATGAGGGTTTTCTTCATCCCAAATGTGACTGTTACGGCTATTAAAATAACCGTCCTTTGTAAAACAGGACTCGTCAGTGAACAAAACGTAGCGACCAAAGTTTGGTTGCCTCAACTCCTGCTGCAGCCACCAACGACAAAAACGTCGACGCGGCAGATAGTCTTCTGGATCCATGGCTTGGACTTTTAAAAGGTGGTATGGGTGTAGTTGCTGGTCATGGAAAACCCGCCAAACAGTAGTTTGAGACGCTCCCATATCATGTGCAATAGCACGCACGCTTGTACGCGGATTGGCCTCTACATGATGCAGAATCGCTTCCTCAAATTCTACTGTGCGCCTCGTGAAGGGCCGCCCTGCTCCCGCGAGGTGTCTGATGCTGCCACTGACACGAAAACGTCCATGAATCCTTGCAAAAATGGCGTGATACCGATGAGAACGTTCTGGAAACCGTTGGGCGTAGATTCGCGAGGCTCGTCTTCCGTTACCACCAGCTTCTCCGTAAATTAAATGCATATCCGCAAGTTCCGCATACGAATAACGCTGCATTTTAACACTAAGGTACTGTTATTTACTATCTAGTTTGACGCACCACTCGGATAAATTAAATGAATCGGTGTGGAGAATTTACGATAACAAAAATATAAAAACACAGCAAGCTTTTTTTACAAACCGGCGAGACCATGAAATGTGCTAGACGAACATTTTACAGCTGGTGAATTTTTTGTTTCTCCTATGAGCTCTTAAGGTAAAATTAACGGTAGTGCTGAAACGGCATATTTACGAACAGGGGTTTATAAGGCAAAATTGCATATTTTTATGCCCTCTACAACCCCTACCATTTTGTCGCAATAATTATGGAACACCCTGTATATATCAATGTATGCTTGACTAACTGGTAAACTATTTCCACCGAGTGGACTTATGTTACAGCGACGAACTTTAAATGAGTTTATTGCAGATCTGATTGACGCTTTTCCATTAAAAAACGGTCCTTATCCATTTGCACTTACTTAAAAGTTGCGACTGCTTCTGCAGGATCTCTGCCTAGACTTTGAGCATGGAATTCGGCTAACCTCGTGGCTAGATGGGTTTTACCCGTTCCAGGTGCTCCGCATAACACTAGCCTTCTGTGTTCTGCTAACAACGACACTAACCTAAAAAAAAAATTATGTTACCCGTTATAGCAGAAATAAATTCATAGGAACTATAAACACTCTTTGAAACGACTGATCCTACCTTTGAGCGACTCCTTTGGGTATAAGAGCTTCAAAAGCTAATGCAGCAACAGGTTGTAATACAACATGCACTGTTGTCACTCTTCCCACGGCATATCCTACAGGCAGCAGATCTGGAGGTTGCCTATCTGGTTTCCGCTCTGCCTCTCCAAGCTTGTAGCTAGCTGAAAAAGAAAAAAAATACACGTGAAAGTCTAAGACCAGATTTTACAGTAGTATGGAATATCTACCTCGATAAAAGAATAAGGTAATTGTGTATTTCCGATTCAAGACAGCTTAGTATTTCCTATTTGCTATGAGTTAGCTTTACCTGAAGTATGGCTTAGCTCAGTTACTGAATATCGCTAGTCATCGACTGAGAGTCTGGTGACAACCAGCACTGTTTATATATGTAACTTCTCTTAACCTCAAGATTTTAAAAATTTTCGAAATGGTCCGTTCAGATAACATCTTGGGGGCTCGGCTAAACCATACTTCTTTTTTTAACCACACGCGATACAAAAAGGTATTGTCTTTAGTTTTTCAATGTGTTGCTTTATACTAAGCTCTTTGCCATATATCTAAAATTTGTATATATCTCTCAAAATGTTGCAGGAATTAAGGAAGGTTCTAAACAGGAGGAATGAATGGTGATAGTAAAGGCATATTTTCTCAAACTGCGTTTTGATTGAGATCTTAACTTACCAATTGCGTCGCTTCCTAGCCCTAGACCCCCACCTGGATCTAGCCTAGCAACATACTGTTTGAAGGCTCTCCTGACAGCATTGTCTAACTGAGCCCAAGAAGTGACTGCTCCAATGGTTGTATAGGCAATCGATATTTCTGTGGTCGCAGAGGTATCGGCCCCTAAGCCTGTACCTGTACCATCATACCCGTAATGTTCCACATAATACCTGGAATAAATTGTTTCATCAAATACAAGCACCAAATATACATGAAAGCATATTATACTGCAGCACTGTCTCTAAGTTCATCATATCATTTAATTTTTTATCACAAGGTAACTTTTATAAGACATGAGACTGATCGACTAAGGCGGAACTTACACACTTCTTTCCCCGTGAATGACTTGGGAGTCTACTTAATTAATTGAGTTCGGAAACAGAGATCTCCGCAATGTAAGGGACCACGCCCAGTTCCTCTACTTCCTCATTTAAAAAATTAACCTCCAGGTCTCGACAAGTAGTTACTAGGTATTGTTAGTTAAAAGAAGAGGGGAAAAGAAAGAAAGGAATGAATGCACAGATGAATAAATTATTGAATGGATTAGGGCACAAACACTCACTTGTCAAAACTTTGTGGTTGTCCAAGATACACCGATATCGCCACCCGCCTCCCATCAGTTTCAGCTTCTGGGGGAGGTTCCTCCAGAGCAGGCACAAGGTCGCAGAGGGCGTCTATGCTGCCATTCCGCCTACCGTCCAGGTCGCTGGAAAGATTGGGCGTCGGAGATGCAGATCCAGTGCTGGAGCCATTCACCATTCCAGTACTGCCGCTTACCATGCGTTGCAGACGTTCGTTGTTCTGCTTCAGACTCAGCATTTCACTCTGGAAACCAATAAACATATCAATATTTCTCGTTTTTTTTTAATGTCCCATATCTCTAAAAACTGGACCAAACGACATTTTAGGTTGTTTGCAAATGAACGACTCCAATTAAATTTCCGTTTTCAAAGTAAAGATTCAGAATAGAGACACGGGCGCCCGCAGGAATTACCCTCAGAGGGACCGATTGGACATCAGAAAGAGAAAAAATATTATCCTTATCATAAATATGGTACTCAAATACTAGATATCGATACACATGTACCTAATAACAGTGATAAATGTCACCTTTTCAGGAGAGCCATTTCATTTTTTTAGAAACTTCAGTCAAACTTTTCAACATTTAATATCGTATTGTGGCATACTTTATATATGGCACTGGAATGTGGAATGGTTATCAATTAAAGAATATAATATTTTGCATATTTGAGTAAAATAGAATAAAGCAAAAAGCACGTAATTACAATATGAGCATAATTAACTGTATAACCAAGGTAAGATACAGTACAATGTTCTTCTTTGGTACGTGAGCGGTTTTTACAAATTGTAAGGGTAGATACGAGCACTGTTATGGATACATGTGACTTGAAAGAACATTGCAAAGTTACTTATCGGAGCTTCCAGCATTGCAATATAATGTTACAATAGTGGAAATGAAACATTCATAATGCATAAAAACTAGACATAACTTTTTTAAGAGTTTATTATATAAGAATTGCTTATATAATAAAAAGGAGCACGAATTTATCTGTATTGTACATTGTACACAAATGTATCTTTGGATTAAAATAAAACAAACATCATTGTCAAGTACCTTACGATGTGTCATGAGTAATATTTTTTCGTGCAGGAATATTTTAAAGTTGTTTTAGTGTAATCCATGAGATTCCATAGATTCGTATAATACTTTACAATGTCGGGATTAAGATTCAATAACAGTAATGATCTTTTTTATGATATAACCGATATTTTTCTGACGCATGCAGTTGCAATAATTTTTAAACAGCATTTTTTTCTTATTTTCGCTTACACAATACTGATTTCAAAAAAATGGGCAAAACATGTTTAATTCAATCTATCCAAATAACTCAATAAGTGAGAATCGTCAAAATGTCAATTACACTGTTATTTAATGCATGTATCGATTATACTAATGTTAGGAGGCAGCCACACTCTGCGGTAGCTCCTACGGTGTTTAAGTTAATATCAAAAAAAAGTTTCAGCGCGTTTGGAATTAATGTGATCAGTATTTACTGTGATCCGTCAGAATCAATCATGGAATGAAACACTTATTGACATGGGCGCTCATATAGAGAGGGACAGGTTAAGCTTACATGCACAGTCACCTAGTTTAAAGCAAAGTTCCTAGCCCTTTAAAACGGCAAGAAAAAATTCTATGTAGGAAAGTTTTGAGGAAAAAATGCGCACTCGCCGATTGTTGTCTACAAAAAAAAAACGGGTACCCTATTGAAAATATTTCACTCCTCAAGTGGAAGCCCATGTTTATCAACTGTGTAACCATGGATGTCAGTAATTGTTGATGTATAACATCACGTGGAAATCCAGCGCTACTGACGGAATACTGGGTTGCGTTCATAAATTGTTACTTTATACCACCCTGAAACAATTTCAGCGTTCGTAATTGTTTGACGTACCTGTTAGAAAACCTTGGAAATAAGAGTGTTGTCACTTGTCATTGTCGTGGCTCATTGCTTTTTACAATAAATGAGTTATTAAAGAATATTGTTTCTCTTAATAGAAAGACTGAATTATCTAAAATGCGTTTCGAAGATGGGATAGTGACAAACAAATTAATTAAAGCAGAAAGAATGAACACTTATTTTATAGAAAGTGTAAATCAAATAGTGAAGACGATTGATGACGGTGATCCAAACTTATGTTCATTACAAGTATGTCAGAATTACAATATAAGAAAAGCTGTCTCAAAATTGAAATCTAATAAAAATCCAAGTGAGAATCTCTCAAAAAATATTCTAAGTGATTGTTTCAATATAATTGGAGAGAAATTATTATTATTGGTGAATCACTGTTTAGTACAAGGTGAATTCCCATCAAAATTAGAGTGTTGAACCATTACTCCTATGCCAAAAGTTCAAAATTCTCAGCTGTATACAAATATGCGACCGATTAATGTCTTGCCCGATGTCGAGAAGCTGTTCGGAGGGATAATATACAAACAAATCATAGAATTCTTCGAAGAAACAAAAATTCTGACAAATAATCAAGCTGGATGTAGAAAAAAAATTTCTACAGGAACAGCAATCCAAATGGTGGTGGAAGACTGGAGAAGAAGTACAGATGAGAAAGATATTGTAACAGTATTTTTAGACTTCAAAAGGGCATTTGAGACTATAAATAGGGAAAAATTGTTAATGAAATTGCATCACTATGGCTTTAAAGGATCAGTATTACACATTTTACAAAATTATTTAGTAAATAGAGATCAAAAAACTAAAGTTGTAAATATTATGTCACGTGTTCAAAATATATCAGTAGGGGTGCCACAGGGCAGTAGATTGGGGCGATTACTATTTATTATTTATATAAATGATATGATATATCATATATATATATATATATATATATATATATATATATATATATATATATATGTAGCACACACACATTTGGACACTGCTTTGGAACTGTTAAATAGTGATATTGAAAAATTTATGAATTATTGGTCAAAATGTCAATAAACTTAAATTAATCATTAATAAAACAAAATGTATGTCAATAGGGAAACATTTAGGTAACAATACAATTAGGCTCATGGTTAATGATGAAAAAATTGAAGTAGTCGAGTCATTTAAATATCTTGGTATATGTGTATAAGTGGATAGTAAGCTACTGTTTCACGAACATTATGGATACATTATTTCAAAAATATCGAAAAAGATAAATAACTTCTATAGAGTTTCCCATGATCTTAGTTTGTATTTCAAAAAAATTGTGTATAACACTATAATTCTTCCTCACTATTTATATTGTTCAACCATCTTATTTACAGCAAATGAAAACAAAATAAAGCTATGAGAATCATTTTAAATAAAAACAAATATGCCAGGATCAAGTCTATGTTAGAAGAACTGCAGTGGTTGGATGTGAAAAATATTATATATTATTTAGTTCTCGTTTTCATATTCAAATTAAAAACTTATTTATTTCCAACACATTTTGAAAACTTCTCAAAATTAAATAGTCATTATCATAAGTACGAAACTAGAGGCAGTATAGATTTTCATATGCAAAATTGTAATAATAGCATAACTAATAAATCTATATTTCAAAAGGGAGTATTTGAATTTAATAAATTGAATAATGATATTGAACAGAGTTCGAATTTAAAAATGTTTAAGGTGAAATTAAAAAATCATTTTATGAATAATCAAAATACATAGTGACGTAATTCAAATAGACAAGAATGCAAAATTACAGAAAATGGATTGAAGAAAAATAAGTAAACGAATCATTATTGTGTACGGTATTACATTACGGAGTAATTTACAAACCCAATCTTGATGATTGGACCACAGTAAGTACTGATCGTTGGACATTTCGCCTTAGGATTTCAGCACCACACAGTGAATCCCAAATAGCATTCGCATGTCGAACATCCAGGGGGAGGAGCAGGACTCCAGATAGTACGTGATAGCTTTGGGTATGAACGTCAGAAATTAGAAATTATTTATGGGCGGAAAATAGTCCATTTCCGAACGTATCTCTCTCCGATTATATTGATAGATTAATACATTATTTTTACAAAATTCCACAATAAAAATGATATGCATAGGTTTACGGAATTCCAAATGTGGTTTACCAGAAATACGTCTCTACTAACCCTCATTTTCATAACAGTGTCCTTGAGACTTTCGAGCTGGTGTGCCGAGCTGAGTGCTTCGAGCCTAATATCTGTGAGGACGAGGTCTTTTTCTCTCAACTGTTTCTGCAATTCGGCGACCTCACGACCTGCGTCCGTTGGAGCTGGAGGTGGTGGAGGGCTGTGTCCTCGTTCACTGTCCGTGCATCCTCCTTCAGAGGTGGGATGTTGTTGACATTGAACTTTCGTCACCTGTAAGCAAATTGCATACGTTATAGGACTCTGTCTGGCCGAATCAAACAACATATATGTATAAATTTGAGCTTATTGTACAACGTTTCGACCACCACTGTGGTCTTTTTCAAATACAGTTGACGATTCAGTGGCGATATGTTTTGTCACATCGATTTCATCAGAAGATGAATTTTCTAATACAGTTACTGTTCATGTGTGAAGAAACTCGAAATTCATTGTATTATACAAGTGCAAGTCAAAAATGACGATTGAATGTAGAAAATACGCACGCAAGCTACGTGATAGGTATATTTAAAGTTTACAACATCCACTACCTTTAATTGAATACAAGGCAGTTACTCTCACAAACAACTCTGACGAAATGCATTTAAGGAAGTCTTTAGAACATATTATTACTACAACGGTAATGAATGACCAATAAAGATTCAAAAAATGTTCAAATAAAAGCCTATAGCCTATGTATAAGAACGAATAATAATTTATTAAAGCAGGCGAACAGACATATAAAGGTGCACGCCTATTGAGAAGAGAAGCGATTTAGGCGCGCGTTAATGTCAGTCAATCACTGCATTCATTCAAAGTTGACAACCTAATACAATTGTCTGTCAAGCACAATTTAAAGATTCATTAAGAAAAATAAAGAATTCTGCCTTGTGCTAAAAGAAAAAGGCATAACATAACCTTTCAGATGAAAATTCAAATAAATAATCAACAGTTACAGTTCCAGGATTCCGCAAAAGTTCTTGAAAGTTCTTGGGGTTGGTTTCGATATAAAATTGACATTCATTGAGCAAGTCAAAAATTTAACTCCAAGAACTTATCTAAAGCTCTGTACCTTGATAGCAAACAGGTACTTGCTTAACTTTAAACTACGCCAAAAGACTAAGAGAGGCCTCAGTATTATCTATATTAAAATATTGTGATATTTAATATTTTCCTTCTTTAGACAATGCAACTAAATGAAGTCAACCAGCAGAAATTCGTATCGCTTGGGTTACCAATCATTATTTTCTGCTCGAATCCACGTTCCTTCTTTTTGCAGATTTTGCCCATTTATTTTCCTATTTTTTGTTATATACCTTTCTCCGCATGATCATTTTCTCTTGATAGATCCTTTGGGCTTGAAGTACCACAGCAAGTAGCTATAACCGGCCGCGTGGTTGTGGTCAGATGTCGCCTTGAAAATTCGAGGTGTTCTAGCCATTATATTCTACAATGTGTGGCTCTTGTTGTGGACTTCGTGTGTCATATTTTCCCTCTCCAACTTCGTTTCCTCAGATTACACCCGTATCCGGATGTATTGGCACGTGTATCTACTTTTGTGGTTGCATATATGCATTCATTTCGGGCCTGATGAAGCCAACAAGCTCGGGTTAACTATCCTATTTTCTGCTCGAATAAACTTTCCTTCTTTTTGCGGATTTTGCCCATTAGTTTCCTATTTTTTGTTATATACCTTTCTCCGCACGATCATTTTCGATTTATATATATATAAACTAAAAGCAATCCTAGAGCTACTTCCAGGTCTTTATTTGTTAATCTCAAAATTATGACTGTCGTATCATTGTTCATTTTAGAAACAGCGACTCTTATTTTCTTTAAATAAATCTAAATTTGAAACATTAAATATAAGTTACAATATTAGACGAAAATAAGATCATAAATTAGCAGTACCTAGTCTTGTGAAAGACTCAATAATTTATAATGGTATGAAAATTTCCATCTGTCTTCCTGATGCTATCAAAGGAGTTATCATTGAAATATATTCCGCTGTGAACTTGAAAACGTTTTAATATGTGAACTATATTATAGCTTGTGTGAGTTTTACAATTCACCTACACAAGATCCACGTACATATGTAATTATGTTATATTTCAGATCTAAGTTAGCTTTGCCATTAAGAATAATTGTATTCTTCAGACAATAAAGCATACCTATCTTTGTATCTATCTATTGTGACACCGCAGTTCGTGCAAATGTGGTTTCTCTTATAATGCTTCCATCATTTACAATTTAATACCACAATCCTACAAATAATATTCTTTATTAGGTTTTCTCCAAAAAATTAAATCATTCATGTCTCATAATTCAACTGAATACAGCAACACATAGTATTATATCATTTTATACATCGCTGTTCTCTTAATATCTCATCCCTCCTATATACTCTATTATCTATTACTCTATTATTTAGGAAAAACTATTCAAAATTCTTTTGATATTATGTAAGGTATTATGATAAGAAATACATACGTTGCGACTTCTTTTTTGTTGAATGCAAGATTAGCCAAGCTAACCTTCGCCAATTAGGCCAACTCTCAAGGGTTGTTACCATGTAAATGAAACACGTAAAGTCTGCCTTCATTGACGCACATTGTTGATTGACATTTTCCCGCGACACAAATTGCCCTACCTCCGATAAATGGGCATGCGCCGTAAGAAACATGGTTGTAGTTTGACATTTTTTGTATTTCTTCTTAACCTTCGAGAAAGACGACGGATTGTTCCAATGTTTCATATCAATCTTTGACCGAGAATAATAAGACTATCAACACGTTGCTCCACATTGAGGGGCAAGGGAACGACGAGAAGAGGAGCGAAACTCTGAGGTTGGGTTTCTTTACACATAATCAGACGAGAGACTGTGTACTGGAGACACGCGAACCGAAGCGACATCTGACGTTTGTTGCGTGCAAATGATAATGTCTCTGCGGTTCACTTCACGGTAGGTGTGCAACTTTAAGGTTTCATATTGGTGGTTCTATTTTCTATATTTCGTCTGTTGGTAGCCTTTACTCTCATTCAATTGCTTAAAAAGCAAAGACCGACACTATCACGCGTAAAAAATCTACGCACTCATTTATTACAAGTAGCGACAGAGGTATCACGTATCTTGAAAATTGACATTATGTCGATTTTTTGACATTATATTATAGCACTAACTGCTGCACACTCGTTCCATAGTTGTACGTATTGTCCAAACGTCATGATCTTCAAAGTTTATGAAAACGCAAAAAAAACTGGGAAAAATCGTAATGTATAACTTTAAACATAACCGCTCTCAGACAGGATAACACAAATAATCCGTGTAGCACAGCTGGGCAGCATATTCAGTAATAGTTTTCTCACATAGCAAATATCACTGATTTTATATACCTGCATACCAATACACACAATCATCCAGATGTGATCTTGCTAATCTGCTACTCAACCACACATTTCACGGTATACCCTGCAGATTATCACGGCATTCTGCAACCAACAAAGCATGATGGGAAACTAACTTGCAGCAAGTTGACATTTTGTCGTTTTTTTCTGGAAGATTTTCAGATTTTTTACGTAAAAGTCCTACGAGTAAATATTTCTATCAAACAATATGCACTAGTAGTAGTTCTAACGTCGAACAGGAAACACAACTGAATAAATTATATCGAAGAAAACTAACCTTAGCATTCCTAGAAAACGCCTTCGTAAACGAACTCCTCAACCATCCCTTCTTTTTCTTCTTATCATGCTGTTTGTCGATACTGCACGCCGAAGATAAACTGGACACGCTGTCCGATGAGGGTTGTCTGGCCAAGCTGCTTCCGTTGCTTCCGGAGTCCCTTCCGATACCCGCCTGGAGCGACTGAGCTCGTAGGGAATCCATCGCTTGACGAAGCTCCTGCAGCTCGGCATCCTGTTGGGGAGTAGAAAATGTGTGAGAATCAGGTTCCTCGGTGGCTATTTCTGATATTTTCCATGGTGATAATGACAGAAAAATGATAGAATGACAAGTAGAGCAACAGCAACGATGCTTGAAATCTCGATGCAAGAAGTGATTAAGCTTATAGTCTAATCATATTAGACGAAAATACCTCTGGTTTGCGAAATAATTGTAAAGTCTAAAGTGTTTTTTGGAATTCAATCAAAAGTGTTGACAGGAACGAAAAACCTCGTCAGATAAGATTTTTAGGTATTTATGAGACATACAAAATGAGACTACACGTAAAAAGTTCCGACTAATAGCAATGAAGCTATGGCCGAAAAACGAGGCAAAATGCAGGTTTTGGTACTTATTGGTAATGCGACGATGGTTTCTCGCCGATACTTGAAATTCATAGGATTCGTACTTCTGAATAACCACAACCAAATTGGAGTAGATTGGTCAAGTAGTTTTTGAGAATTTTTAATTATTTATCCCAAAACACCTGTTTTCTAGGTTAGTTCAAAGGGCATTTTATAACAAAATACACTAGTTTACCGTGTCGATATGAATCACAAACAATTCCGGAATATAAATGTTATTTTTATGCAAAAAAGGATGGGTTACGTTTTTTCTTCTAAACAAATTCAAATATTTCGTATTTGTGAGTAATTCGCAACAAAAGATGATAGACATATTCGCTTTGTTTAAAAATGCGTATAGTAGCATATATTTTTTGAATATCCTAGCGCATTTGCTCAATTACTCACAAATACGAAATGTTTGAATTTGTTTAGAAGAAAAAAACGCAACCTTTGTTTTTCGCATGAAAATTTAACATTTATCTTTCGGAATTGTATGTGATTCAAATCGGCAAGGTAAACACGTGTATTTTGCCATTAAATGCTCGTTGCACGAACCCTGTATATTGCTCAATAAACTAGTAGGGATGGTCGGAAAACAGGTGTTTTCGGATAAACAGAGATTCTCAAAAACTACTTGACCAATATAATTTCGTTGTTCTTATTTAGAAGTATGAATCATGCGGATCTGAAGAATTCGTAGTTGCGGAAAACTATTGTTGCATTACCAACAAGTGCCAAAACCTGCATTTTGCCTCGTTTTTCGTCAATAACATTTTTGTTATTAGTCGGATCTTTTTACGTGCGCTCTCATTTTATAGGTCTCATAAATACCTAAAAATCTTATATGAAAAGTTTTTTCGTTCGTGTCAACACTTTCGATTGAATCCCAAAAGACACGTTTTCTCATTCTTTGTTGTCAAATAAAAAGTTTTCTCACAAAAATTGGTGTACCCATTTCATGTTTCCATATTTTAAATACCCCCTTGAGCCACTTGCATCAATAAAACCAGACTTCACAATTATTTCGAGGAAATTTACTAATATGATTAGACTATTAAGATAAGGTCCATTTACGCATTACTTCTTCAAATGCAAACAATGAAGCTACTAGGACAGCAGAATTGAAATATTTACTCTATTTAATAAAAACAAATGCCAATACTAGATTCTTGTAGAACAAAAGATACGTCGTGACATTCTTATAAGACCGCTCGTATTTTGATGAAATCTTCACAAAAGATTATTGCTATGCCGCAAAAAATCGTTTTTTGACATTTCATAGGATCCTGATCACTTTCAGAAAAAAAATTGCAGGGGCAAAAATTGGGGTTGCGAGTTGTCGGGGGTGGGGAAGGGTATATGTCAATTTTTTGGTGGTGCGATATATACGTTTCCAGCTCCGGTAGTTCCACGGACTTATTAGACATATTCCATATATCATATTTGCTCGTACATTTGCCCTGAAAACTTGAATGACGAGACATATCGAAATAAGACAGCGCAAAGTGCTATCTATTACGAGAATCGACCACTGCGGAGAGCGCATAGCTACCATTTTAATAGCATATATTCCAGGTGACCGCTAGATGGCAGTATAGTAGATGTGGTCTACGTGCCATTGAGAAAACTAAACTTGATGCTTTCGTCCGTTCGTCCGATCGACCGTCTGACCAATAGACAGCCAACAATGGACAGTTGTTTCGGGCTTCTTGGCCACTCATCAGCATGATCTAGGCTTGTTCTCTCGCCTCTGAGACTGCGAAGGAAAGTATCGTAACTATATTCTGTCCAGGAGCTACGGTCTATCGAAATAAAACAGCGCAAAGCGCTGAAATAGTAGGTTTTGCAAAAAAATGGTGTCTCACAATTTTTCACTAAATATACGAGTTTAAAAAATCCCCTATCCTGGAAACGGGCATTTCTGTCCAGAACTATTTTTTATATTCCTTCATAATGAACCTAACAATAGTTTCGCACTGTATATTTTCTTCAAATTCCTAACGAGCACTCATTTTCGGTTATTAACAGATAAGAAACGGTGTTGATTTGTGTAGACGTAATGTTGGAGATGCATTACCTTTTTTTCTGAAGTAGCGGTAAGATGTTGCAGCCTCTGGGTCATAGACGTCAGACTCTGCTCGAACGCCGATACCACATGAGCCTGTAACAAAAAACACATGCGCCATTTAGTACTTGTACTCCTTATTAGCCACTTTGAAACATGTGTCTACAATCAGCTCCTTTTATTATCTTTCTTTTCTTTCGCTTTTTGTGATTCGTTCGTCAACCCTGATGGTTGAAAGAAGTCGAGTTATGAAATATGTAGCCTGATGGACAAGCACAGAAGCCGTTTGTTGGGTAAATATTGACCAGTGGCGCGCAACTAAGGATTCAGTTATAGAAACTACTTGACTCGAACATAAAATCACTTAAAACGTTAATACTTGATTTTTTTATTGTTCTACAGTTGAGGTCAAGCATTTTAAATTACTTGATACTTGATGGCAAATTATATTTTTGTTCTAATAAATGCCTTTAGTGATACTTATTTGTACAACGGATGAGTTTTGTATTTTAATATATATATAAAATAATCACGACTGGTGGAAAAGACATAAAAATCCATTCCCAAATCTAGTTTTAATGGCATGAGAGTTTTTATCGACACCTGCAACATGAGCGTTCATTGAATGGGAATTTTCTAAGGCCGCAGTGACGATTACGGAACGACGAAACAGATTAAGCGATAAATTCGTTAGGATCCTCATATGTCATAAATCGTGATTAACGAATGAAAAGCTAATTCAGAATTTTTCTTTTTTGAATTGACAGTTCTATCTTTTCTTATTTGTAAAAGAACGAACAAAATATTTTGTTCAATAGGGTTTTCTCTGTAACTTGTCACAAACTCTTTCTGTTGCGTTTCTATAGATCTATGCGGTTTATTCGTACAGTGATCGGTGACTTGTTGGTGACAGAATGAAGGGAATTTCTGGGGCGGGATCTTGGACACGATCACTGACAGGTTGGTGACAGCTGTACGAACAGGGCTTCTATTCTATTTGTCATTGTCCGTCAGAGCGGTCCGTGGGACCTTCGCTCTTTGTTAAAGTATCGTAGGTCAGTAGGTCTGTCAGGTCTGGTTGCCGAGATACCAGACGAAGTCAGGGAGAAAGAAAGGAAGAAGAAAGATAGGAAGGAGGGGGAAGAGCAAAGAGTTTGAAGTGCGCCGGTTAAAGGGATGCCTTGCCCCACATTAAGGACCTAAAGGTGCGTGAAGCACCTGGAGAGGAGGTCGCTGAAGTCATCATGATCCCAAAGAAGGCAGGATCGATATTCCCCCATTCCCCGTCCCATTAGTCTGCTGTCAGCTCCTTCTAAGCTCGCTGAAAAGGTGATTTATCGTCACCTTGAGAATTTCTCGTCAGATCACCATGTGATTCCTGACGTGCAATTCGGCTTTCGGTCTGAGTATAGTATGGAACTACAGGCAGTTAGACTGGTGGAGCATGTAATCAGGGGGTTCACCCTGAACAAAAGTACTAGTATCTTGCTTTTAGATGTATCAAAGGCATTTGACAAGGTGTGGCACATGAGCCTCTTGTCTAAGCTCATCCAAAAGGGTTTTCCATTTTGGCTACTAGAACTGTTTCGAATCAAAATTAACAAGGTGTTGTCAACAACAAGAGAAGGTGTTCCTCAGGGTTCGGTCTTAGGACCAATCCTTTATTCACTTGATATACATGAGGTCCCTTGCTCCAGGAAATGTGAAGTCTATCCCTATGCTGACGACACTGCATTGCTAGCCTATTCCTGTTCTGGTAACCTGGTTCACGACAGGCTGCAGAGTGCAGTGGAGGAAGTACTGGAGTGGGCGGATCGGTGGTTGATCAAAATTAATACTTCGAAAACGCAGGCAATCTATTGTACTAAAAACGTCGCGGTGCCCCCTCAGAGATATCAGTGAATGGAACTCGTATACCATGGGAGCAATCTGTCAGGTATCTTGGAGTCATCATTAACAAGGGGTTGACCTGGCAGAAACATACTGATATTTTGAAAACAAAAATCCAAATTACCTTTCGACAGCTTTATCCTTTGTTGTGCAGAAATTCAAAATTAAGTTTGATCAACAAGATTCGGTTGTATAAAATGGTCATAAGACCCGCAATCACCTACGCATGCGCGGCTTGGTGTTTTCTTGCCAAGACGCACATCCAGAGACTACAAGTCCTGCAAAAAGAACCCTACGCAGAATTACTAACGCCCCTTGGTACGTGCCAAATGAGACTATTCACAGAGATCGTGATATCCCATATCTAAGGGATTACGTAAAGCAACAGGCGCAGCGGAGTTATAATCAAGCGGAGTCGCACAGCAACCCTCTGTTGCGTGTTTCAGTAGACTACACAATCGAGCAAGTTCGCAAACATTCCAGGCCGCGCCTCGCACCGTGATCAAATTGAATTGTAAATTGAGACCAGCCAAAATTATTTCAGTATACAAAACCGATCAAAATAATTCGAGTAGTCAAAGCAATAATGCCTAAGCTATTTCAAATGATTTACTTCTTTTCTTTGCTCTATTTCTTCCTTTCTTTCCCTTTTTTCCTTAAACATGTTTGGTATCTGGGTAGCCAGACCTGACAGACTAACAGACTTTTAACTAAGAGCAAAGGTCCACCGGACCGCTCTGACGAATAATGACGAATAGTAGTAGTAGGGATGCCTGCTATTGTTAACTGGTATTCGGTTATTTTAAATTAATCCAAAAATTAATTTAGGAATTTGTGTGTGGCAAAAATCCTAATTTTGGTTAGATCGAGAATTGCACGATTTGATTTTGATCACAGTGCGAGCCGCGGTCTTGCCTGCTTACGGATTTGTATTGGAAAAATTATCAAGTAGTATCGAAACTACTTGAATTTTCAAGTACTTCACGCAAAAACTTACATCACTAATATCCAATACTAGACTGGAGCTACACTTGATTTCAAGTCAAGCCAAGTAGCTTGGAAATCAAGTCAAGTAGTTATTTGAGACCTCACAAAACAGTTGCTGTAAGGACACACATCAGAGAAGATCAGCAAATCAACTGATACCAACAAAATAGAAGGACTACTAATTGGCTAAAATAAAAACCTTTTAGGAAAGAGGTACGATAATAACACAAAAAGCGCCTGTGATGCAACCCAAACGCCGCTTTATGGAGAATGTAAATACTATATTTACGATAAAGACAAAATATATGTAAAAAGCGGATAACTATAAATCCAAACCTTAAAAACATATATAAAAACAAACGCATATCTTTTTTCAACCAGAATTGGAAGGGGTGTAGAAATTCTAATACTTTAATTCGTGCAAGAAAAGTAATAGTAGAAGATCCGAGTTAGATTTTTGCCCATCTGTTTAATGGATGAAATTTAGTATGTTAAAAAATATATCGCAAGTGGGCTGCCTAAAAAATTCTTGGCGAGACTATGGTTAATTAATAAATGAAAAATGGCTTTTTATTAAACATTATGCAAACGTTGGGCTGACTATTTTAACTACTGAGTTGGTATGTATAAAAGGGTATGTTGATATTAATTATTTTCACCTAATTGTTTAGTAAAGAAGTCTTATATCAAAATAAGCACCCTTTTATGGTGAACACGTTATAGAGTTGTCTGCAAAAAACCTGGCTGAAAAGATAGTTGGCGGGTTTTAATAATGAACTTTTGATGCGAATGGAAACTTGCGACAGAGGTCCGAGCTACTAATGCAGTACACTAGTAAAGACTAAACAATATTTTGGTGCAACTGGTAGCAGAATAAGAAACAACAATCAATATATACGTATAATAAATTATGTGTTCCAAACTTGACTCTTACTATTTGGATATCGGAAACGGAAAGAGAAAGGAAGTCGGTGAAATAGGTACAAGCTTGAGCACTTAGCTAACTAAGAATATAGCGCATAGACAGTTTCGCAAATCCAAGTATTTCAGGAGTAGTCTAATCATATTAGCGAAATAATTGTAGTCTGGTTTTATTGAAGCAAGTTGCTCAAGGTGGTATTTAAATCATGGACGAATAAAATGGGTAAACCAATTTTGTGAGAAAACTTTTTATTCGACAACAAAGATTCAGAAAACGTGTTTTTTTGTGTTGGCAGGAACAGAAAAACTCTTCAAGTAAGATTTTTAGGTATTTATGAGACCCACAGAATGAGGCCACATGTAAAAAGATCCGACTAATAGTAAAAAAGTTATGGCCGAAAACCGAGGCAAGATGCAGGTTTCCGCATTTGTTGGTAATGCGACGACAGTTTCACGCAGATACTTGAAATTCTCCAAATTCGTAGGCTTCACAGCTCTTAATAACGACAACAAAATATTAATCGATTGGTCGAGTAGTTTTTGAGAATTTCTAATTGTTGATCCCTTTCATTTTTCGCATAAAAATAACAATTATCTTTCGGAATGGTTTATGATTCATGACGGCAAAGTAAACTCGCGGATTTCGCTATAAAATGCCCTTTGAACGAACTCCGTATATTGCTCAGTAAACTAGTAGTGATGTCCAGAAGTCAGGGGTTTTGGGATAAACAATTAGAAATTCTCAAAAGCTACTTGACCAATCGACTCCAATTTTATTGTGGTTATTTAGAATTATGAGGCCTATAGATTTGAAGAATTTCAAGTAGCTGCGTGAAATTATCGTGGCATTAGCAACAAGAACCATAAGCTGTATAACTTTTTTACTATCCTTCGAATCTTTTTACGTGTGGTCTCATTCTGTAGGTCTCAGAAATACCTAAAAGTCTTATTTGGAAAGCTTTTTGTTCCTGACAACACTTTCGATTGAATTCTAAAAGATACGGTTCTCATTCTTTGTTGTCGAATAAAAAGTTTTCCCACAAAAATTGGTGTACCCATTTCATGCGACTATGTTTTAAATATCCCGTTGAACAACTTGTATGAATAAAACTAGATTTTACAATGATTTCGGGAAAATTTGCTAATATGATTAGACTAGAGCGAAAGAAACCGAATTTTTACAAAATCGTTTTTATTTTTTCCTGGCTTTATTTGAGATTAGATTTCAAAACAGCTAAGTATACTATCACTTCCACTTTTTCTACTCTACAATGTTTCATAATTAAAATTTCATCTTG